ACTTAACGTTGACATGCCCCAAAAAAAAACATTATCAAATATAAACGCGCAACGAGAGGCTCATAAATTTAGTTTGCATGACCACAAAAGTTAACAAAAAACGTGTAAATATTAATATAGAGATATGAATAATATTGATTGACTGCTTCGATGAAACGAAATTATAGTAAGCATTAATATTAAATTTCTGTAATTAAGTCACCCCGCCCTCTATACAGATATGAGGGGCATGATAATTTTCATTATAGTAATTAGCTCTTAAGTTGGTATTAGAAAAATAACGCCAAACAGCTATGAAAAGAAAAACCATCAATTTAGCGATTTAAGCGATTATTTATATGAAATTGGTACACGTGGCGTATGAGTAACGCATTAAAAAAAGAGCGAACACCTGTCGAAGTGAGTTTCTTGGATGTAAATAAAGTTTGTTATTTTATTACTCATCTAATTTGTACAAAGTAATGCATTTTAACTTATATTTGGTAACTTAATTAATGAAAAAAATCTTTAATTTGTCAAATAATCTGTGGACGGCGATTTGAACCCGAGCCTTCTGAATGGCAGTATGGAATGCTAACCAATCGACTTACGCGGCGGCCCGAAAAAAAAACAGAAATGGTGTTACACCTTTTTAATTTAAGCATATGTGATTTACATATATATATATTTTGTTTAGTTCTTTTCAAACCTTTACCGTGTGTACTATGATACATTCAATGATTGTGATACCATGATACATTAAAGTTTATCACAGTTATTATTAATTTTTATTATCATTTCGTGATATCTACATGCATATGTACGTACATACGTATGCATGTGCTGACGCGTTTATGCACATGCGTGCATATGTATTTACAAATGTACGTTGATAACCCGCTAGGCATACAGACTGTCGAGTATTAAATAATAACGTCATTTAAAAAGTAAAACAAAAAAATATTTTTAACAAAAATACAGGAAAATTTTTTGTATTTTTTTTTACTATTTTTAGGGCTTTTACCAACGAACATTTTCATGTTTTTACATTTGTACAAAGTATGGAAGTGCGTAAAGTCATTTAAGTTTAATTAATTTATTTAAACTCAATTTTTATGTTGTGAGTTTAATGCTTTTAATTAAAATGCGAAAAAATAATAGTATAAAAATAAAATAAAAAAGATTCAAAAAAATATGAGTTCATGACTTTCGAAAATCATCAAAATCACACTTACACACATACTCGTACATATGTATCTACATCTGCAGATTTTACAAGAAAAAAGTCCATATTTGTTTTTAATATATATGCAATTAGTAGATCTATTAGTCATTTTTATTTTATTTTAAACAATTTGAGGTGCTTTTTGTTATCTTGTTTCCACGCAAATACGTGACATGAGTTTTATTGACTAGATGCAAGGTCTGACAAACGAATAATTAGTTGACAAAACATAAAAAAAAAATAGTTTTCTTTGAGAGTTTTTGTTAATTTAGAAATATGGGTATATAAGTAAGTTTTGCTATATTTAAAACAAAAATTGTATCTTAGCTTTTTTTGAAGCGGGATTTTCTTACGATATTACATACAGGAGGCAACTTTTGGCGTGAAAATTTGGCCTCTGCTTCATATTTTGTGATTGAATGGTGACATCTGTCATTTTGGCAAGCAAATTCTTTTAAATCTAAATACCTAGGGAATTCAGAAAGGTGAGTGCAGAAGAAAAGATACTAAAATTGACGTGTATTTTATTTTCATTTCATTCATTGAACATTTATCAGCTTTCAAAAACGTGCAAACCATTTTTCCACAGTCATAAAATCACAATTGTAATGACTTCCAATTTAATAAATAGAAAATCAAATGAAATTCAAGCAAACAGATCTTAAGCTGAAAGATAATTTTCATAATCACCAATAATAATAATTCAATGAAAGAACAAACTTGAATTCGCTGCCGTAGTAATTTCACCTTGTTAAATTCGCCTTGATATCTAAATGCGGCAATGTCATTTTCCGAAAAATTACAAATTTATAAAATCTTTTTAAATAACATGTGTACTGAAATTTTCAATCTACTTGTTAATAAATATAATACAAATACATATATATATAATATATTATAAATATTTTCATATATGTACATATTTAATAATTATTAATGAGCCATTAAATGTATTTGTAGCAAGGTATAAATTTCTATGTATGTTCTAAACAACATTTCATTACATCTCAATATGAATTAAAACGTTTTACAACAAAAATGGTAAAGTTACGTTTTTTTTTATTATTATTCCCTTTTTCCATACAACTAAAAGCAGCGCAGTCGTGCTTCGCCGTATTTGTAAATGTTTCAAATCTTATTTAATGACACAATCACTTTATATACTAGTATTGAAATTGTTTTATATATATTTTAGTCAATCTAATTGATTTAAGTTATTCAAATTGAACACATATGGCGGTCAATTCGTTGTGGCGACCTTGAACTTGCCAATTATTTTACGCAAATTACTAATTGCCTCACTTGTTATACATAAATTTAAATGAGAAAAAAAAAGAAATTTTTGGTTTTATTAACAAAATCAAAATCTAAAAATGTAATGTACTCTTTGCATATTATTAAATAATGTTTCCGGCGACTTATGGTAAGAGTTTATCGCTAATTATCAATTAAGCTAGTTTGGCATTCAACAATAAGCGCTTTGTCTGATAAGAGCGAGACCCTTTTTGCCTATTTGCCTATTTGCCACAAATACCTATATACGATTCCTTACAAGTAGCATATGTTAACTAAAATAGTGCGAAAATACTTGAAACTATTATAGTTCGGTGACATTTCGGCGTGCTTGAATTATTTAAATGCTATGGAGGAAAGTTTGATTTTTCCATGGGCTCTTAAAATGCAGAATTTCATTTTCCTCTTGCTCGATAATCGATATCATGTCAATGATAACTTCCTACGGAAAATATTTCATTACTAATTTGAAAGCAACGTTTTGATTAATAGTAGAAGCTAATATGCGATCTCAGTTTATTATATATAATATATATATTTTCTAAGCAGGCACAATATTGTTTTATACTTTTTTATGCCAGAATCGAAATGATATTTAGTTTTAGTGTCGTGAGAGTGTATTAATAATAGAATGAGAAGTTGCTGGCGTGTAATCAAAAGCCAGAAAATTTTCTTAAAGTACATAGTATTGGAAAAGGCTTTTAAATAATAACAGTCGCTCTTCATTTACTTACTAAACTTTAATAAGGGAAAATTAAAAGCAAGAAAATTTTCGAATACAAAAGGTTTGGTGAGCTACGCTTTATATAAGACATAAGAATTGACACAATGTATTTATGTACATTCATACATCATCGCAGTGTTTGTAACCAAACTCTTCCGAAAAAGCTTTACCGATTTTTTTTTTTTGGGTTTTTGTGTGTAAATCAGTTCAGTATGTCAATCGGTTAAGATCTCTTCTTCATACCGGGAAGTGGACAGATACTAACCTACACGTATACAAAAAACTTGTATTTATGGTTCGATTTACTTGAAAATTGAAGTTTTGTTTAGTTTAACAGGAAAACTACTATTGTTTCCGTAAAGTTTATCAGCAAACGATTTATTCGAAAACATCCTATTTATTGTTGGAATCAATATATTGGGAATTAGGTTTTTTTTCGGAAATAGCCAGATGTGCTTGGTTCCTGCCGTAAGCCATTTATACCTTAACTAAAGCAGGATCTTTATAGGAACTGAAACTTTATAGGAAATCCAACACGAACGAAAGAAAACTCGACTTTATTCCGGGAACTGAACCAGATTCAATACGTTTAATACGAGAAAATCTTTATATATGAAATTTAAAGGATTAGTAGTCAGATTAATATGCAGAAAATGGTTCTTAAAAATCTTATTTGCTTGAAATCCTTTCCTTTTCGATTAGTTCAACAGATACCGATCAATTTGTGGAAATTGTTGAGAGTTTTTTACATGCCTATGACGTTCTATTAGAAGACTAAACGAAACTAAAAAGGATGTGTCTATGAATATCTTATGCTCACCCGGCTTAGTTATTTGTACTTGTTTTCCACTATTTTCGAGGCCGCTCAAATAATTCACATTAAGATTTGGTCAATATATATTTTATTATTTCTCTGAAATTAATCCAAAGTCAAGGATTTGAGGCGAGGGAATTTCGTGCTCACATCTGCCACATAACAGCACCGTAAACTTAACTCAACAACAACTGTAATCAAACATGGGCACATATCGGTTGCGCCTAGTAGATATTCCAGTAAATATGAGTTCGACAAATACCTAAATAAATAGAAAAAAATTAACAAAAATATTTATACATACCTATTCGAATGTATATTTGAAAATTATTATAATCAATAATAAAATGCTTGAACCCCAAAATTAAATGCAATCGAAAATTTCATAAATAGCTTCACAAAACCGAACAACAGATCAGTATATTTATAGAGTGGCGAGCGTAATGCGATTACAGTACATACATATGTACATATATTTATAAGGTTGAGTAGTAAAATGCCAGCCTTAAACTAGATTAACTGATAAGGAGTGACAATGTTCCACGCCTGTGTGCCTAGAAAGCATTGAAAAAAATAAAAACTTGCAGCAGAAAAAAAATAAAAGTCTTAAGCATAAATTCAAATCGAACAGACAACAACAACAAAAATAAATGGTAGTTACCAATCTAATCAGACAAATAATAAATGTTAGCCATTATCGAACAGGTGTTCATTAATACAATAAAACATTTTTTTTTGTTTCAATGAATGAAATTATGAAATCAAAAGAAATAAGCGCGCCCAACACAAACCAAGACAGGTGGCACAAAACATGATAAAATTAGCAAAAAAAATAAACAAAAGAAACAATGTTATAAAAACTTTAAATACAAAAAATTATAAACAACTAATTATATATATTTTTTAAACTTCTTTACATTCCAGTACATCCTACCAGCTCGGTGGCATTAAATTAGTTTATAAATAAGGACATAAAAGTAAAGCCAAACACATCATGTCCAATATACGACCCTTAACACCGGAGCTGGCCAAGCGCGCACAGGAAGAGCTTGGTGAGGTGCCCGAACGTATAGATGCCGACATCCAACAACTACGTGACTGGATTGTAAAGCAACCACATCTCAACGCACGCACCGATGACCAGTTCCTAGTGGCTTTCCTGCGCGGTTGTAAATACAGTGTGGAGAAGGCGAAACAAAAATTAGACAATTACTATGCAATGCGTGGCGCTGTGCCGGAGTTGTATAAAGATCGGTTTGTCAATGATGCTGCCATTGATATACTGCGTTCGAGGTAAGCGAAGCAAGGGAATGAATTTTAGTTTTAAGCAGAGTACACGTGTTTTTAAGAGAAGCTGTGGGTTTCAAGTGACCAGTACTAAATTCTGCTAAGGATGCATTGCTAGGTCAAGACGGACTACAGTGAGACCTTTACAAATCGTGAATGGAAAGTAATTAACAATAATATGGTGGGTGAGACCAAGACTGCGCCGAAAACTGCGGCCACTCATTTTCACCTGTTGATATAGAGCGGTCGCTGAGGGCATGTGAAAGATGATGACATAAGATCCCGGCTGTAAATTGTCCCCATTTACTGAGAGTCGCATTCGACAGATGGACGATCGTTAAATATGTAGCTATAAAAGTTGTGGATGTCGAGGACTAGCGAGACGAAGTCTGTGATGATAAAACTTCTGATGTCATCTACACATCACTTATGCAGTGAAACATCTATGCCTCAATTAAGAATAATGTTGTGCTGTGTAATCAATATCGGCTGGTACGCTGCTGTCGTAATCTTCCCAAGAGAAATATACTTACTGCAAGCTGAACCACCACCTAAGTACATCAAGAAGAGAGTACTCGGCTTCAAAGACTCTGTAAAGTAAATTAGAATCGTCATACCGACAGGCTTTAAATGCCATCCCGCGAGAGTGCAACAACATCTTCGTAAACTCTCTCCCGTGAATGGCATTCTCCATCACTTATTGTAAACCTAGAGCCCAACTGACACGAAAGAGCCAAGTAATACTGGCACAATTAAGGTCTGGATATTGTAGCCGGCTTTAATTCAACCTATACAGACTTCACCTCAACATACCCAACGTATGTGTAATAAGCCCCCGCATAGCACTAATCATGTCGTTGCAAGCTCTCTAAAACCAACTCATCTAACGCCCCTCTCCCTTTGGACCGAATCCGTCGAATTCGCCCGTTTCCTGGACCACTCGTTTTCATAAGTAAGAATTAAGAAGGAGCTTTCTTTAACAGTTCCGGAAGCTTTCACACAATAATTAAATACGAAGTTGCTAGCTATCCCCTAATGGTATATTGTGCAAAACGTGAGAAGTTGGGCCTATTTATTGCAATGCTTCTGGGAGATCCATATTCGATATATTTCTAGGAAACGCGCCTGCGTAATCGCTTCATCTAAAGGACTCCGAATGATAAAAAATTAACGTCGCTTATCATCTTAGAAAAGCACCGGGTAGAGATTTATGTTAATTTTTGAACCCAGCAAGAACTTAAACGTGCTGGGATTAGTTAACCTTATTTCTTCTCTATAATTACTAGAATAAATGATTTTTGTGGCATTTGAGTAATTTCACTCTATCTCTTCACCTCATTCCAGCGTCTACTTACCTTTACCGAAACCAATAGCGCCCGACGGCCCTCGCATACACCTCTCCCGCTATGGAGTTTTCGACACTAATAAATATTCGCTGAGTGATATAATCAAAGTACGCACTATGCTTGGTGATATACAATTCCGTGATGATGATAATGCCATGGTGATGGGCTTCATGGAGGTTATCGATTTTAAAGGTGTCGGTCCAGGGCATATTTTCCTTTTTAATGCCGTGTTGGTGAAGAAACTGGCAGTACTGGGTGATAAAGCATGGCCTTATCGTCCGAAAGGATTCCATTTCATCAATGTAAATTCGGCCTGTGAGAAAATTATGAGTCTGGCAAAGAGTATGATGAGTGATAAGATTAAGAAACGTGTAAGTAATAACTCTTAGATAAAATACATTATATAAGAATTTTATTATAATTATAAAAATATACTTATCTTACCTACAGTTTCATGTTCATGCCAATTATGAATCACTTTACAAGCACATACCAAAGGAGTGTCTGCCGGCTGAATATGGCGGCAGCAACGGTACGATTGTGGCGGGCGTCAAAGAGTGGGAAAATAAATTGCTTAGCTATAAGGAATACTTTGAGGAGGATGCCAAATATGGCACAAATGAAAAACTACGACGTGGACGTCCATTTAATTCCGAATCATTATTCGGTATTGAGGGCTCATTTAGGAAATTGGATATTGATTAGTGATTTGTTTGTTTTCGGCAATTTTCTAGTAACTTAAATGAGATTACTAATTGTCTTTATTGTATGTTTGCACATTTGTACATACAGATGTGTATGTATGGTAGGTATGTATGTGAATTTAGTTAGTTATTATTAATTTATAAAATTCACAATATTTATTGTATAATGAATGTGTTTGTAAAATTTCAAAATATCGTCTTGGAAAAAATAAAATAAAATAAATTTGTTTTAAAATGAAACTTGTTTTTTACGTTACGTTACGTTTTGAGAGACCTCGTTTAATACGCTTACAAAGATAATCACTACTACTACAACATGAATTAAATTTTATTCAATTTTTTAAATATATAGGGCTTATCTTTTTATTCAAGTAATCATAGGAGGCTACAAGATAGCTAAATATTGTTAAAAAGAGCGTTAACTACAGGATTTGGTATTTTACTATTTATAACATTTTTAGTTTTTGATGTCACGTCTTATTTCAAAAATAACCGCATTCTTGTTTAAAGTTTTTCTACAAAAAAATTCAATTTTTCGGTTTCATACCAGATTTTTTATAAATAAATTCGTGTGCGGCATCATAGTGTGGATTCGTTTGCTCTCGCACGCGTTGCAGCCACTCGTCGATTTTTGGAAACTTTTTGCCAGCATCATACTGCGCCAACTCTGCAAAATTTGATATAAGAAAAGTATAAATATTTGTTTTTTTTAACTGATTTCACTCATTACTCGTCTGCTCGATTTCGCTGGCACCAAATAGATCAGATACTCTCAATTCATTGCCTGTTACGAAATGTGTGTCCTTCAACCATATCTCCTCAATAACCTTTAGTTGTTCTTCCATAGTTTTACGTAATGTAGCCTCCCGTTCAGCACTTGGTTTGGGCTTTATGCCATTCATGGGAAATAGCCACATGTCACGAAAGTATAATGTACATCCCATGCGCACACCCAAATGATGCCATTCAAGGAATTCATCAACGCGTGCACGTTGTTGGAGTTCTTTCGGATAAAGTGCTTCACTGAATTTTCCTTTGTCGGAAAGGTAGCTGTAGGAAAAAGGAAGATAATTGAGTTAAATGAAAGTAAAATTAAAACGAAAGAAATTAATAAGATTAAATAAAAAACATATAAAACAAAACAGAATAATGTAAAATACAATAAATTATATTCAATTAATAAAAAATCAAATAAGATTATAAAACAAAATAAAAAATTACAACAAGCAAAATGACATAAAATAAAATAAAATAAAATAAAATAAAATAAAATAAAACAAAATAAAATAAATTTTAGTTTTATTAATAAAATACAGTAAAATAAAACAAAATTACCTAAAATGAAATGAGATGAATTAATATAAACCAAAACAAAATAAAAAAAATTGCATAAAATATAGTAAAGTAAAAGACATCTTCTGAAATAAAATAAAGTATATTAAAATAACATAAATAAGTCAAATTAAATTAAATAAAACAAATTAAAAAGAAATTTAGGAAATTAAAATGATATAGAAATAAATAGAACTAAATAAAGTCAAATGAAATGAAATAAAGTAAGTTAAAATGGAACAAAAAATAAATAAATATTAAACAATTTAAAAAATTAAATTAAATTAAACTAAATTGAGCCAAATTAAATAAGGTCAATAAACAATAAAATATTAAATTTAAATAAAATAATTAAACAAAATATCATAAAATAAAAGAGAATAAAATAAAATAAAACAAAACTAAATAAATTTAAAGATTTAACGAAAAACAAATGATACAAAATTAAATTATTTCATTTTAAATTAATTAAAATTGAATCCAAAAGGAATAAATACTAATAATAAGCAAGAAAATAAAATAAAATAAAATAAATTAAAAATAAAAAAGATTTAATGAAATTAATTTATAAAAAATAAAGCAAAAAATAATAAATCGCCGAAAAGTAAATATAATAAAAATAAATATATTAAAACAAAATAATATAAAATTGTATTAATTTAAATTTAATTACGTTAGTTTAAATAAAATAAATTAAATTAAGTAATATGAAATAAAATAAAACTAAACAAAGTAAAGTGGACAATAAATACATATAAAAACAACGTTAAAATGAAATGAAATTAAACCAAATAAATAAAAATAAGTAAATCAAATCAAAATAAAAATAAAAATAAAACCAAACTAAATTATGTAAATGCAAATTAAAAAAAAAATCTACCATCTAAAACCGTTGTTGGAATTTTTTCACTATTTCCAAAAAATATATGGTCTGAGACAGTTCCATAAAACTAAAAACCCAAAAAAAAGTTAATTAACGACTTTTTTTTAACTTCCAAACACACTTCCGATTGCACTCACCGAACTATAGCTACACTCTCGCTGAGTTGAAAATCTCCATCTACCAGCGCCGGCACTTTTTGAAAGCGATTGATTTGTTTATACTCCGGCTTTAACTGTTCTGCTGTAAAAATAAAACAATTTTCTTTTTTTTTTTAATTTTAATTGCATACCAAATTATTATATATCAATGGCAACATACACTTTCTCAATGCCACTGGACAGTCTTCATATGGTATTTTGCCCAACCGCAATGCCATCCACAAAGCGCGTGAGGGTTGTGATAGTAGATCATAGTAAATCTTGAATTTAGCCATTTTTTGTAATTAATTGTGGCTGATAATACTTTATTTTAACTATTTAATATTAACACCAGCGGAGTGTAAGGTCTAAAGTTCGCTGTTCTTAAATGCCTTTTGAGTTTCCTAAAAATTTTCATTGTCTCTTCGATAGTTTGTTTTGTTATCTCATTCATTATTATTTTTTCATAGCTTTTCACTTAATTATTTTATTCGCGTTCCGAAAGCTATAAACATTTACTGGTAGCGAGCTTTCTATGTTGGCTTATTATAAAAGCTTCGTGTGTGGGGACAGTTTAGATGCACGCAGTGTTACCAGATTAGCTGACTTTTTTCGAATTTAGTAAAAAGCCAAGGGAGTATACAGTAGCAAAAACTCGCTCTTCATTTTGAAGCCATTGCATGAAAGTAGAACATTCCTACGAATGACAATTGTCAAGCCAAACGAGCTAAGGCATAATCCCTGCGTAGCTTAGCGTAAGAAGCGACTAAATCTACAGTCGTGTCTTTATATCGGAGCGAGTCCGATTTTTATCCGGCGAAGGACTGTCAAACCCATAATATTCGCCGAAAACTAATTTGAGTTTTTTTTTGCGGTTACAAATAATACAAAATTTCCTAAGTAGCAAGCGGTACTCAGTGGCTCAGGAACCTCTGTATTCTGTGCTATTGATCACCTACTATGTGTTTTGATGTACTAAGGAAAGCGTTCCAAAGAAATAGTGTTTTCGGTATAGCTCAGTTGGATTGGATTGTTTGACTACAACAAAAATTAAGTTAAACACTTACCACCTCTTCATTTTGATCTCTTTTCTATAACCATAATTCAATTCCAAAAAACTACACTTTTTTCACGAAAAAAAAACCAACACTGTTTTAAAATTGTAATATATTTTCCAATTTTTTTTATTTATTTTTTATTTATATAATAAGGTATTTATAGTGATCGAATGACAATTTTTTTATGAACTTAATAAATTCCATATATTGAAGGAAGATTTCTGAAAATAAATAATGTAAATTTGATAATTAAAAATAATGCCAGGGTAATGAAGGGAATTAGTTAATATTTATGGTTGAAAATTTTTGAAGAAAAAAAATTGTAAAAAAATACTGTTTATATATGTATACAAGAAATTAAGAGAAATACATGAAAAGCATGTGATAAAACAATTCGATTGTACTACTATCCAAATATGTTTATATTAATGTATATAATGAAATATAATTTTTTGTTTTATATATTTAAAAAAAATTAAGATTAAGTGTGCACTCAAATAAAAAATGAACTTAATATTGAAAAAAATAAACAATTAATATTAAAAATTAGTTAAATAATAGTTTGAAAACAAATTTTGAAAGAAAAAAATTAATTAATATAAAAAAAAATAAAAAATGAAAAATAAAAAATGAAAAATAAAAAATAGTTATATGCGATTAAAAATATACCTTATACATAAAATCTGTAGTAAATTAAAAAGAAATTAATTAATGTATAAAAAAAAATAAATAACACAACATTTAATGTTCGAAAAATCCTTATTTTCTTTCTCACATTAAAATTAAATGCTTTGACAAAATATTATATGCAAGAGAAAACCCTTCAATTATTTTAGAAACTTCTGAACCATACTTATATTACTACATACATATATTAAATTTCTGTAAATTTTGGAAACGTATGTGTTTCTAGCAGTGCATAATTTCTAGTGAATTCTGCTTTTCGCTTCTACATACAACAATTTATGTAAATACGCAATCACAAGGTACTTCAAATAAAATATTTTCTTATCGGTTATCGTTAAGAACTTCCAATTTTAGATTAACATTTTGTGTCTTCGTAGCCTGCACAATGTATATAAATATTATTAATCGGCTTATTCACCGTTAATCAGAGTGACTAAGGCTTAAAGTTTTTATGACGCGCATAAATCTTCCAATGAAAACTGATAAGAAAATCGTCTATTACAGTCTATTGAGTTACTCGACGCTGACAAAGTAAATTATTGAAATTCGATCATATTGTTAACAATAAAAAAAAAAAAACGTTAGATCGTAAAAACTGATAAGCTAAATTTAAATTAACGCAAAGTAATTGAAAATTTACTTTTACTACCAATTATTTTTTTTATCTATGATTATAATGAAAGCCTCACAGACAAGGATTTTTTTTATGTTTTTGTACAAACACATGAGCGTATTTAGATTAAATATTATTAGAAAAATATTATGGTTCAGAAATTCTAAAATAGCATGTACTAAGGTGCAAATTAAACGCTTAGCAAATAGATTCCCAAGTGAAAAGAATGTTAAAAGCCTAAAATTATGCATTTATACTATATGTAAAAAAATTGTATGTAATATTAATGCAAATATAGTATAATTCATAAACTCTTATAAATTGTTAACTAAAAAATGTTTGAAATTAATAAAAAAAATAAAACTTAGACTTAGATAAAAGAGCATTTCAACAACAACAAAAATGTATAAAGCAGTTTTAAAGCCAAAAAAAAAAAATAAGAATAATAATGTTTTAGATTCTACGCATGAATTTAAATAAATGAGACATTTTTGAAACAACACCAAAAGCTTTGCGCACATTAAATGTTATGATTTCACTTAATAGAAATATTTTAAATAGAATTTAGCTTGTTTAACAGCAATGAAAACAAAAACTCGACAATTTTCACCTTTCATTAAGTCGACGAACGAATAAATGAAAAAAACTGTATAACACAAAAACTACTTTTCAGCGCAAGAAATGAATTTAGTCTACATTAAAATACACATTTCGTTAGTGGTACTTAAATTTCAACAAATATAATTTCTGTTTAGTTGAAAATCTCTACCGATTTTTTTGAGTTTTACATTTACAAATACAAATGTATGTATGTATGAATGTAGGCATTTTTCCGAACACGTTTAACAATTAAATGCCTATTGGTTTTAAGACAAATATATATTTTTTTCTTTACACAAAAAATGGAATTCGCGTATTTTAAATACAATTATTAATTAATATAATATTGTTAATTTATACATATGTTTTTTTGTTTTTGTTTTTGTTTTAGTTTTACTTTAAAATGGTAATGATTTAAACACACCACAATATATAGAAGTATGTATTTATGTATGGTATCTATGAATGTATATAACTAGATAACTACAATGAATGATTTACAGTGTAGACTTTCACAATTTTTTTGTATGTTTGTTAATTCTTTCTTCTTTATAATCTATATGTATGTATATATTTACTAAATGTTTATTATAATTTTAGTATGTTAATATCCGTTTTTTGTTTGTTGTGGTTTTTTTTTTGTTCATAAACTTCAAATTCACATGTTATTTACTCTTTCCATCAAACATACACCATATATTGTACATACATATATATACGTTATATACAATATCCATATATGTACATACATATCTCAAAAAAAATCTTTCCCAAAAATAAATACGCTCAATATAAATGAAGCCTTTAATGTTATATGGATGTGTATATATTTTTTATATGTTTATATATTTGTAATACCATGTAAGCGTTTACTTTAAGTATTTCACATGCTTGGCATACATACATACATATAAACATATAATATTTATAAATGTTTTGTACGTAATGTACTTAAACTTTTTTTGTTATAAATTTTCGCGCATTTGTTTGCCAACATTTAAGTAAATAGTTGCAATAGTTGCTATTGCTTCATTGCTTTTAGCTGCTCTAGGTATGTGTGTATATATGTTATTATAGTGTTGCTTTCATTAAATTTTACTATTACATTATAGTTCGTCTGGTTGTTCTATAAGTTATTTAGTTAAGTTGATTTGCTTGTTGTTGTTGTTGTTGTTGTTGTATGAAAACGCCACTAAATTACTCATTTAGTTATTATCATTACTATAACTACTATTCTTTAAGTATTATATTTACTTTTTTTAAATGAGTATTTCATCTCTAGTTAATATTTGTTGTTTTTTTTATAATTTTTACACTTTTCAACGAACGCACAAAGTAGATAAAATTGTTGTATATTTTTCTTTATAAATCAGGTTTAATTTTATGTTTTTAACTCTTGTCTGTTAAACATCTGTTCATATTCCCATTTTCATTTTGACGTACTTTTTTTGTTCTTGTTTTTAGTTTATATTTTTAATGAATTAATTTTTTATTTTTTTATTTCGTTTAGTATTTTTAAAGAGCACGTTTTTTTTTGTTTTTTTTTTTTAATTTAATCGATATTTAATTTACGAAAAGACCCCTCAGGTACACTCACACATTTAGGCGATGGCGGCGAGACTGGTGTTGGCGGTGTCTTATCTGTAGCCGCACCAACTGCGGGCTCAATACTCTGACGCAACGCCTCATCGACGCCATACTTTTCGTCCTCATCAAAGTATGAGCTAAATTCGTTGAGCTGCTGTTCAAACGTTGTCATGGCCTCTTCGTAAGTGCCATTGGTGCCACCATATTCGACGGGTAAGTACTCCTTGCCAATGGCCTTATGTAGCGACTCCAACGATGAGTGTATGTGTAGCTAAGCGTGTAAAGAAATATTTCAGAAATTTATTTTCATTTCATACACGTTTCACCGTTAAATGACAATTCAAGTTGAGCTTTGAGCTTAAACTATTAAACTTAAGTTAATTGCAAGATGCATTGCCATTACTTTCTACGACAATTAAGTGTTTGTTTTTATTGTTACGGCATTTAAAAACACTAAAACACATGCCTGTCGTACTCACCAATTCTTTTTGTTTCATCACCAAACGCACCAAATTCAATATAATTTGGGCATCCATGGAAGCATTTACGATGTGTGTACCCACTAAATTTGTAGGTACGCCATATTCTAAGAAAGCGGCCATCTTTTTAAATAAATTCGCCTCAAATTGACGCAATAAAGCGTATGGAATTTTGGAAAAATCCATTATTTCAAGTACACCACTTATAATCCAATTATCATCGGTATTGGCCTCAATTTCCGAACGAAACATTAGGAAACGGAAGATATCTTTGGCCGTGTATAGGGAAGTATCAATTTGACCCATGCGTGTGAAGTGTATACGCGGACCGCCCGGTCCAACTGGTTTCGGAAGTGTGGCGAATATGCTGCGCGTAGGAAAAGAAAGAGGAAAAATTAATAATAAAAAAAAAATCATAAGTTCTTTATATACATCACACTTACCCCGCCCGGCAAATACCAAATACTTTATCATCGATCCGCCGACTCTTAAGTAAATCGCCTGCTGTCGTTTTGTATGTGTAATAATAGTCGATACGTTTCTTCGTATCATCCATGTTGTATTTGCAGAAGCGCAGGAAGCCCACAAGGAATTGATCATCGGTGCGCGCTGTCAAATATGGCTGTTCTTCAATCCACTGTCGCAGCTCCACAATATCGCTGACAACGCGTGATTCGACTTCGTTGAGTTCGGTGCGTGCGACCGCAGCCAATTCGGGTACCAATGGGCGTATTTGTGCCATTCTATGGTTAATTTGTTCTTAAGGCGGAAAGTTTTTTTTTTTTTTTTTAAATAAAAGATTTTGCAAATGCTATAACGGAAATTTTTTTAATGTTTTCTTTTCGCGGATTTAACGGTGATTTGTAAAAAGTGTTTTAACTATAAAGAGACATTTTGAGAAAAAATTGAAAATTTAGCAATAAAATAAATGAAAATGTTTGTTTAAATTTTTTTAAATTTTATTTTTTTTTAAACGTCACGTTCAGATGACTCTTCAGAAATATGAAACAGTGTTGTTGAAATTCAAAAACAATGTAAAAAAAAAACGATAAATTTGATGTTAACACCTTTTGTATGCACTTTTTGCACAATTTATCTTTTTTTAATCCTTTGTAATTTCAGTAAGTTCCTTTGCTTTTATCGCTTTCCAAGAGCTTAGAGTTTAAAAGAATTTCCTGTACTTTGTTTACTTTTTTTTACCAACATTATTCGCACAACAGTAAAATCAAACTGAATGAATGCAAGCCGCAGTCGCAAATTGCGCTAATGAATTTGCGCCTCATACTTCCCACCTCAACCCTGTTCTTACTGGAATACTAATAAATTTCAGCTCATTCCCCTGAGTTAGTAAAATATGGATATTTCTTTGGACTTTATTGTCGTTTGTTGTTTGCTGTTGTTTTTGCTGCTTAATGGCTAGCTGCCGATATACTATGTACATATATTTTTTCTATTGATAAGATATGTGAATACGAGTATATTTATACTGTCCGCATACACACACAATACATTTATTTATTATATTTTTTTATATTTGTATGGGAAAAAAAATTTTTTCTAGTTACTTCCACCGCCATTAACAACCCTTTGGTGGTCCTACCGGCCACCAATTCACTTTTAAATAAACTATATTCAATTTTTTATACATTTTAGTATAAATTATAAATTTAATCATTCATTATTATTACATTCATCCATGGTGTCAACTGATTCGATACTTCTTTATAGAGCCAATTCAATTTCGAAGTAGGACCGTTCCAAAATAATACCGTTATGCCAGCAAATAATCCCATCATCAAACAATTTTTTGAACGCAATTCCTGCAATTAATTTCAATTCCCAACTCGAATTCTCTTTTATGTCATCTATCGACTAAAAACGAGTTAATTTGTTACTTTGTGGCTTGGCAAGAGAAATTGTAGGACGAAGGCATATAAAGTGAACCCTGAGATTGCAAATCGGGTTTTATTGAATATTTAGACGGAAGTTGATTCAAAATTATAGCCGAGTGAGATTTTGTGTTATATGAAAGGGGAATTGACTTGTTTATCATGTTCTCAGCGACCTTTAGGCGATTGAGTTTTAGTAGAAGCATTAGGCTTTCGGAACTATTCAAGCAGTGACACATCATTTCATGCCCAAACATCCGTTTCAAATACATACGAAGTGATTTGGGAGATACAGACACTTCAGGGGCTATCTTTTTAACCATTTATTTCACTTTGGTGATGTCAACCTAAGTCAAAGACAGTGTAAAATAAAGCGGAAAAGATCGACAATACCTTTTAGCAGGTTTTTTAAGAGATCAACTACCTTAATATTTATAAATTGTGACCCACAGTGTTATTGTGATAGTCTTCGGTTTAAGAACCCGACTATCACGGTGACACGGCAACTATTACATTTTTTTCTTACAACAGACTAGTCAGCGGATAAATTCTAGACGCCTTAATCCGCAGGGGTGGTTGGCAGGACATAGTACAGTATGGGTTTAACTATGAATCTCCAAGGATAGTTTCCGCTTGTATTGCTATGTTAAGAAAAAACAAAATCCTAATAGTCACTATAGCTAAGATGACAAAAAATTATTATTCTATCATAGCACCTCCGTCCTTGAATCAGCGTAATATTCGTTCGATTTAAACCAAGCCAAGACTCTTTACTACATGCCCGACAAAAAACACTTTAAATACGAATAAAATATTGAATGAAAGAGGATATGATTATTAGTTTCCGATACTAACGGTCTATGAAGCGTTAAGTGGGGCTATGTAGATCTGTAACGAGAATCCTTGGCTTTTAGTTGCGACTTACTGCGAGAGGATCCACAAGTAAATTCTCACCTCATTACCATCAATTCCAGAGGTATTGCTCCAGTATTTCGTTCTCCTTCGTGCTTGCTCAACACTACCCCGAGACCAACTTATCAAGTTTGATTAATAGTTCTTTAGTTCTATAAATTGTTTGCTATCCTACATTTATTCTAACTTAGAACGGTTCACATGGGTGAATCTCTTTCATGTATACCTCTCAAGCATTTATATGAAATGGTATTTTAACTTTGTTTAAAAGTACCAGAAGGTGAAGAGTTAATACCGAACGTGTCAGAATGACGAATTGAGTTGATTTCGGCGTGTCCGTCTGACCGTTTGTTTGTAAACTGGTACCACACAGAGTTTTCGATATATTTCCATCGATTGTCGGAACCGGCCATATCGGACCATTTTAGCATATATAGACTGATTCATTCAGATTTAAGATTTTGAGCCATGAATCAGTCAAAAAAGTACCTAAGAGCAGGGTTAGTTGTTCCAATAAATTCATATCTGCAAATCAACATTGTCACCAAAAATCATATAACTCCAATACCGCCGATCTCTTCATATATGAAGTCTAATATTTACACCTAAAATGAAGTACCTTAAATTTTATATGGGCATGAAACGTATAAGAACTTCGTAATGACCAAAACCACAACCTTTTTTCTTATCTTTAATGAATTTGATTATTTTCCTTTTAATTAAGCTCACAAAAAATTCTGAAATTGATTTTTCCAAGCGTTTTAAGAGGTTTTTAATTTGTTAATACACCTTTTGTGATATATTCAAAGTTCAAATAATTTCAAAAGTTTCTCAAAACCATGCTGTAATAACTTCATAAGCATACAGCGGAAGTATAATCGAACGGATTTAGACTTAAAGCCTCAGAGCGTAATTAATTTGCTGCCGAGTTCGACCAACTTCCGTTGGAGCATGAGAGAAACAGCAACAACTTTGCACTCCCAGCACAAAAAATATTTCTTAAAACCGCCTTTCATTTTAATTTTTTGGTTATTTGACGGTTTTAATTTGGGCAAATTTGTTGGATTCTTTGGAATTTTAATTTTTTTTTTTTTTTTTTACCAATTTCCCAACAATTAAAAACATTAATATGTTGTAACCATGCATTTAAAACAGAATTATTGTTATTATAAAACAATAAAATAAATATTTTCAGCACAGCAAACGCAATGAACCGCTACATGAGCTCATAAAATAAAAATAGTAGCATTTAAATCACGATTGCGGAGAGTACAAGCTGGTTCTAAGCCTTTAACACGCACACACTTAAATAAAAAATTAAAAAAAAAATTATATATATTAGACCAATATGGCAGCTATACGTCCCTTAAGCGCAGAATTGCAAAAAATCGCTATCGGCGAGCTAAACGAAGTGCCCCAACGTGTGCCACAGGACATAGCCGCGCTGCGTGAATGGATTGAGAAGCAACCGCACCTGCGCGCACGCACCGACGATCAATTTTTGGTTAGTTTCCTGCGCGGCTGCAAGTACAGTCTGGAGAAGGCTAAATCGAAAATAGATTACTTCTATACCATACGCACCATGTTGCCGGATATTTTCGCAAATAATACCATGTCAGATGCGAAGAATTTGATGATTGTACGCTCAGCGTAAGTAATTTTGAATATTTTAATAAGTTCCGCCAAAAAAAAAAAGGCTAAAAAAAATTATTAACTTCGTTTAAAATTAAATTTCGTACCGCCCTTAGCGGCATCGTAGCACTGCCGAATACGCTCGGTGTCGGTGGCCCCGTTATAGGTTTTTCACGTTATAAAATTATAGATGATCTACCTATAACCGTTAAGGATTTCTGTCGCTACACCGCTATGGTGACGGATAAAACTATAGTCGGTACGGATGCATATGTCATTGGCGGTTATATGGAAATTGTTGACGTGGAAAAAGTTGGCATGAATGCCATGTCGAAATTCGATCCGATCACAAGCAAACAGTTCAGCACCTACTGTATTAAGGGTTCTGCTATACGCATTAAGGGCGTGCATGTTATAAATGCGCCCAAGGAAGCTTACACTGCGCTCAATATCATACGAAATCTCTTTCCGGCTAGCATCAAAGAAAGGGTGTGTAATTCAAGAGGAGAGAAAATGGGTTTCTTTCATTCTCATATTTTATTTTTTTTTTTTGCTTTTTCCAGTACTTTATACACCGAAAGATGGAGGATTTGTACAAATATGTGCCCAAGGAGTATCTGCCGATTGAGTATGGCGGTAGAAATGGTTCATTGCCGGAATTGGCCAAAAAACACGAGCAGGACTTACTTGATTTTAATTACTATTTTAAAGAAAATGATAAGTACGGCGTTGACGAGCATCTAAGGCAAGGTCAAAAAATGGATATGAATTCTATATTTGGTTTGGAAGGCACATTTCGAAAACTGGATATTGATTAGGAATGCAATGCATGAAATTTGAGGAAAAAACCATTTTAAACGTTTCAAATGTGTATTTATTTATTTAAGATCATTTTCCAAATAAACCAACGCAAACAAAAAAAAAAAAAAACAAAAAAAAACTTATTAAAACCAAAAAAAACATTAGAAATTAGTGAAATATAAAATAAAATTAAAAATAAAATAAAATAAACAAAATAAAATAAATAAAATAAAATAGTACAAAATAAAACATAATAAAATAATACAAGATAAAATAAATTAATTAACTTAATAATATAACATAAATTAAAATAAAATAACATAAATTGAAATAAAATAAAGTAAAAAAATTAATAAAAGCAATTAAAATGGGATAAAATAAAATATATAACGTAAAATGAAATAAAAAAAAAAAATTAAAATAAAAATAAATAAATAAAATATAATCAATTGAAATGAAATAAAATAAAGCCAAAATAAAATAAAATAAAATAACACAATATAATATATAATAAAAATTAAATAAATTAAAGGAAAATAACAATAATTTAAAAACAAACCATTAAAAATTAAAATATTATGAACAATAAAATTAAAGGACATCATAAAAATAAAACAAAAAATTATGTAAGGTTGAAAACTGAAATAAAATGAAATTTAAAATTGAATTGAATAATTGAATTAAATAAATTATAAACTTTAAATAAATTACAAATTTTAAATAAGTTAAAATAGCATCAAATATTATATAAAATAAGAAGAAGTGAATAAAAAATGAAATAAATAATAAAAGCAAAAAATTAAAAATTAAACAAAATAAAACAAGAAATAAACTAAAATAAATTTAAACAAATAAAATAACATGTAATAAAAAAATTTAATTAATAAATAAGACAAAAGTGAAAAAAAATAAATCAAAATAACAAGAAATAAATTAAAATAACACAAAATAAAATATAATTACAAAAATTAAAAAAAAAACCTTAAAACTGATTAAAATCTAAAGAAATAAAATAAACCATAATAAAAATAAATAAAATATATTAAGGTTAATTAAAATTCAAAATAAATTTAAATTAAATAAAATTGACAAAATAAAATTAAGTAAAAAAAAATTAAAACAGATTATATAAAACAAAAGTATCCAAAATTAAAGTAAAATAAAATCATAACCAATATAGTAAAAGTCAACATTAAAACTTAAATATGTACACCAAATAAAATGAAATGTATAAAAATAAAATAAAGTAAGACAAAATGTATTAAAAAATAAATAGAACAATTAAATAATGTAATTTTATATAATGAAATTAACTAAAAGTAAATAAATAAAAAGTAAACAAAATCCAATATAAAAAATAAATAGAATTAAATGAAACAAAATAAATAAATAAATTAAATTAAACAAAACAAAATACAATAAAAATGTAGGCAAACAAACTAAAATTAAATAAAAATAATATAAAACAAGACGATGGGATAGAAGTAAGCTCGACGTAAAGAGTAGAATTTCCGAACATATTCGTATACTATATGTGTGTCTATATGTATAGCATGTTAATGCAATTATAGTTTGTAAACAAATGTTTCTTTAGAAATGAAGGCGTTATCAGCGAAATTTGCCTAATCTAATCTAAGAAGCTAGTACATAAGCACTAACATATGTATGCGTGAGTATGCACGAGTATGCAGGTATATTGATCAATGAAGTAAGTGACTTTGTGAGAATATTGAAAATTAACAGATAGATGCGCAGTTGATGTATCATTGCGTTTATGAAATTGAAATGGTAACAACAGAAAATATTACAACAAAATTTATTTTTTATGTACAAACATACATTATACATTTACACATATATATATATGTATACATTTTTTGTTTTTTAATGCAAATAAAAAGTGTTTAAAAACTTCTTTACACTTAACTTTACTTTATTTTCATTTGCAAGAGGCATATTGTACATACACACGCATACATATACGCATACAATACATGTATTTGCATATGTATGACATATTGCAATAAAAGAAATGGTCAAATATATTATATTTTATTATTACTTTATTTGCTTTATTACATACATATAGTTCAGCTACCATTTTAAGATAACACCGTTAACACTTAAAAGGTAAAAGCAGGTAAGCAAATGTATGTTCATACCGTTATGTGTATATACATATGTACGTTTAACTTATGTATATATACTCGTTTCATATTTAAAACAGCCAGCAAGTATGGGCGGATGTGTTGTCATAGGTCATTATGGCATAAACCGTTAGTTATTAAATTTGGACTCGTAAACGAAAAAATTATAAACAATAATTGTTGGAAAACAAAAGTGTAAAACAAAATCAAAATCATTAAATGATGAGTAAAGCGTAATATAATAAATCAAATACAACACGTGTATATATATAAATATATGTAGATATTAATATATGCTTTTGCAGATATTAACTTACGCGTTAGCTCGCTTCACTGACGAATCACTGATTAAGGTTTATTGAAGCATATGTAAACTAACTATAAGACAGTACACTAAATTGGCGAATAGTCAATCATCATACATATATGTATGTATATGTATAATCTTAGGCAAATTCACATGCAAATGTATGTACATACATACAGAGCGATGCGATGTGCTTACGATTGAACCGGTTGGTTACGTATGTACTACAATATGTATCCACATTAGATACATTTGCATTTATCTTTGGACGATATATGTAGATATTTATGTGTGTATGTATGTGTAACGATATTTTTGTGTAGCCGCAGTAGTGCAATAATTAAACAACATTTATTATTATGATTTTTGTTAAGTTTTATGACACTGAAAATCAACAGTGAAGTAAAGCAAGCGAAACGGTAGCAATAAAAGCGCGAGGAGTCACATATGTATGTGTCTACACACATATACATATATTAAATAACACAAAGTAAAATGAATCAAAGTTTCAATGAAAGTGTTACAATTTGAATGACTTGACGAAATGCATGCAAGATAATCAGCTGTTTCTTTTGTTTTCATAGAGAAATTTTTAATTTTAGCACGAGAATGATTTAATGAGCTTTTTTGGTTAATGTACTCTGATGAGACTTACATATGAGGAGGTATATAGCAAATGTACATACATACATACATACATACATACATATAAATGTAATACCAAAAATTCATATCTCACATGCGAAAATATGCGCTTCTTCTTCTGCCAGCCACGGTATGCGCACGCATGCGCATAAAAACCCTACCAATGGCGTTTTGAAATGGTCAAAAGCTTGCAATTTGTAGCACGGTCAACACTTCACGGCGGTGGATACAGTAGAGTGAGCGTGCGCATCAACGCAGACACACCAGCTAACATACACACACACACACACAAGATCAGTGCACCGAAAATTACAAAGAAAAAAGGCAAAAACTCAACAAAACAGCGAGAAACAAAAGCAGAAGATTACTTCGCAAGCGCACACATTAAATAAATAGCAGCTCACTTGTTTCGAACGATTTCAGTCGCTTCGCAGACAGCTAACAATACAACGCATGCAATATTAGCTGCCAAAAAAATACAGATTAACTCAGCTGTAACCCAACACGCAAACCGCCCACACACACAGAGAAATACATTGGAAAATGGTTATTTTGCGCCCACTACCCGACGATTTGGCTAAAAAAGCCGCCGAGGAGTTGAACGAGAAGCCGGACGACAACGACTACTATGTGAATGCCTTGCGTGAATGGGCCGAAAAGCAGCCGCATTTGTGCGCGCGCACAGACGATCAATTTCTGATCGCATTTTTGCGCGGCTCCAAATTTAGTTTGGAGAAAGCGAAGCAAAAGTTGGAAAACTTTTACATACTACGCGCTGCAATGCCGGAAATCTTTCGTAATCGCAATTTGAGTGAACCGAAATATGAGGCGATCGTCAAATCGGGGTAAGTCCATTTAATCAACGGAGTAACGAAGTAAAAACTAACAAATATATCATTTTTTTTTATGCCTACACAGCGCAGCATCCTTTCTGCCCGAACCCGTCGGTGAGGGTGGCCCCTTAGTGGTGCTGCTGCGTCCTAGCGAATTCAATATGGATCTTCATAATATCAACGATGTGCTGAAAGTGGGTTCAATGATGATCGATATACTGATGCAGGAGAATGATCGCGTTTTCGTTGCTGGTTATACATTCATCATTGATCTGGGTAATATTTCAAAGGCTGTGCTGATGAATTTCGAACCGGAATTCGTACGCAAATTAACCATACTAGTCAATAAGGCGGCGCCCACACGTATGAAGGGTTTCCATTTTATCAATGTGCTGCCGATCTTCGAAAAATTATTCGGCATGGTGAAGAGTGTGATTAGCGCTAAGCTGAAGGATCGGGTGAGTAGAAAAAAACTGATGTTTTAAATATAAAATCCTTAGCGATTTAAAGCGGTTCATAAATGTCCGGAAGCACTTTTCTGCTTCAAAATGTTCATCAGAATATTATCGAAGAATTTAGAAATATTTCCTTAAAATATCTTAATTGCTATCAAAATATTTGATTTTCGTCCATTTATCATTCGTTTCCCCATTCGTTTAGCTTTGGCGTATAGAAGGCGCTTTAAGTTGAAAATTTTAGATTTTTAATGTTAAAAATTTTTTAACAAAGGAATCCTTCAAAACTTACACAAAAATACAAGAGAGAATATTTTTTACAGATTTATGAACACACTTTTTCTCTTTCTCTCTATCTCACTCTCCCCACACAGTTCTACGTTCACGGCACCAATTTCGAGGAACTTTACAAACACGTACCCATACATGTGTTGCCCAAAGAATATGGCGGTGATTGTGATCTTAAAAGTCTCTCTGACGAATGGTGGCAAAAGCTGAATGATTATAAGAAATTCTTTGAAGAAGAAGAAAAATATGGTGTAGCTGAAGGTTATGACAAGCTTAAGCAAGTAAAAGAACTCATTGAGGATACAAGCATATTGCAAGGCACTGAGGGCTCTTTCCGGCAATTGGAATTCGACTAAATGAGTGAACTCACGCGCTGTGTATTTAAAGATCAAGAAAACAACCAAAGCAATTAGTAGAATATTTGCAATTTTTTTATACTTATCTACTTATAATAATTATTTAAAACTATTTGTATTAGCAATAAAAAAAATAAATAAATAAAAAAAATAAAATCAATAAGTATTTAAAAGAAAAAAAATCATTAAAATATGTATTTCTTCTTTTTTGCTTACAATAAAATAATCTCAAAAATTAGATAGCTTAAATATATTGGAAAATCATTAAATTTGCCATTTTTAGTTATTTTTTTGTGCTTATTTAATAATTAAAGTACAACCAGCACTAAGGCGTATCCACATTGCAATTAACTGTCTATCATCGGATGCACTTTTTTATTATTATTAAATGTCAAAGTTTGTGGTCATGCAAAAGCAAGTGCAAAATTTTTTTTTTTTTTTTTGAAAATTACCGTGCAAAAAACTGAATGCACATATATATACATGTAAACATACATGTATACATGGCGCTTTGTAACCGCTAAAGCGGTTTTCGGCCGAGCTTCTCCTCCAATTTGTGCTTTTGCGTCTTGATGTTTTTCCAACATATGGAGGCACCTGCAGTTTATACTAAGCCGCCTCCGAAACGATGATGGTTTTTTATGAGGAGTCTTTATTACATGTCATAAATACACTTGAAGTGGTTGCCAAGGAGCGACCGCCATTAGAAAGTTTAACTTAATTTTTTTTTTTATTTGAAATTAATTTTGTATAACTTTTTAATGGTTTTCGCACCAGGATTTGAACCCGGACCTTCCGAATAGCAGGAAGCCATACATATATTCATGTTATAATAGTAAACTAAAATTGAGCAGTATAATTTACAGCAGCATATTGCATATTGCATACTGCTAGCTCAGTCCCACGGAAAATGAGACTAGTGTATGAAACTGCGAGTATGTGAGGGTCTATCACTGGGTGCGTTCAGATCTATTTCTTGGGAAGTCGAACTCACCCTACTCAACAGCCAATGAGATTTCTAGTGGTTTGTTAAAATCGCACCTGCAGTTGAGAGGAAAAGCATAACCTGAGATAGAGCCTAATTTAAATTGATCTTGTGAAATGATGTATCGAATTAACGGAGACATTTTAAATTTTACAAAAAAAAAATTATCGTTCTTTGAATTTTTATTTGCCATTTATTTGCAAACCTTGTATGAATGTATGTATGTACATAAGAGTATGTAGTGTTAATTTTATTTTTCGCTTTACTCACACGAATAACCTCAAACTCAATTTGAAGCTTTGTTGATTTTTTTAGCTCAGCATCAAGTAGTGTAATTATGAAATTATAGTTTAATCAGTAATGAGTATCGCATCGTGTTTAATTCCCACGAAAATTTATCCACCAAAACAAGTTTACCACAATTATGCTCAATGGTAATATTCTTTAGAATAAAACTTATTGTGAATTACGAAGATGTGTTTACCATGGATATATGGTATGAAGGCGCAAGACTTGAATTCTTGATAAATAAAATTTTGAAAGTTTTTAAATACAAATAAAAGAAAATTAAATAATGCAAAAATAGATACAAAATAAAACGGAGAAAATTGAAAGAAATAAATAAATAAATAAAATAATAAATATTGAAAAAAATAAAAATAATTTATAAACAAGAAAAATTAAAAAAAAGAGAAATAAATAAAATACAATAATAAATATAGATAAAAAAAAAACAAAATCAAACTATAAAATAAAATAAACTATGTAGAGCATAATAAAATAAAATTAAAAATTTTTATATTAAAATAGAAGGAGAATAAAATAAATTAAGTAAATTAAAATGAAATAGAAATATATTATATCAAATTAAATAGAAAAATCAAATAAATTAAAAAGAAAAATTTAAATTTGAAATTAAATCAAATCAAATGAGATAAAAAATTAAAAAAAACTTAATGAATTAATTTAAAATAAAATATAATAGATTAAAATAACATAACACAACAGTTTAAAATAAAACAATAAATAATTAACTCAAATATACATAGACTAAAATACAAGCCGAAGCGATTTTCCGTCGAGCTTCCCCTCCAACTTGTGATGTGCGTCGTGATATTTTTGCCACAAATGGAGGGAACCTACAGTTTATACTGAGCCACCTTCGATTGGCAGATGATTTTTTATGAGGAGCTTTTTATTCATGCCCGAATACCACTTGGAGGTCTTAACTTTCACCACCAAGGGGTGACCGCAAATGGAATTGCAAACTTAATTTTTTGTTTAAATTAATTTTCTGTATTTTTGAATGTTGGTGGAAACAGGACACGGCGCCTACTGACCTTTCAAACGTTTATTATTGATTATTTATTGAAATAAAACAAAATTCAATATAAATAAATTTGATTAAAATATAATAAAAAAATAATAATATCAAATAAATGAAATAAACTTAAATAAAATAAACTAAATAGAAACTAAATATACCAATGAATAATAATACTAAAAAAAATAGTAATAAAATTAAATAATGTAGAAAACAAAAAAGCACAATACAATAAAATGTAACAAAAAAAATGTTTTCCAATCAAATTAAAAAAAAATATAATATAATAATACAAAATTTAATTAAGAAAAATATATATGTAATAATAAAAAAATTTAATTATAATAAAATAACATGAAAATGAAATTCAAATATATTCAAAAAAATTTGTTTAAAATGTATTTGTTTATTTAATGAATTTCGTGTGGGAATGATATAATTCAAAAATATTCACCACAACCAATTACGGCAAGTGCATTAGAAACGAAAGTATTTTTTTATTCAACAATATTTAGAAAAGCAACTACCTTATAAAGTTGTAGCAATAAATACACATACTTATTAAAAAAACTTATTTTATTTTTGAAAACTGGTTATATTAATAAACAACACCAAATATAAAATTGGAAATAAATATTGCACAACAAATACATATTTACATATGCATGTCTATGCATTTCTAGTTACAAAAACAGCTTCGTTCTCGGTTTTTTTCTTTTTTTCATTTTAAAAAGTCTTTTTATTTTTTTCTATTAGACATAACCATAAGTCTCAAACTTCTTTTAGTTGAAAAAAGAATCCTCTGAATATTGAAGACAAGATAAAAACATCTGTTAAACAGTAATTTCATTTATTTATTTTAAAGAGAGTCTTCACAGATACATAAGTAAGTGCCATTAAACATACGTAAAACGTTAAGATAACTATATGTGAATATGTAGATAAGTATATTATTTAAAAAACACATAAATTTAATGTAGAACAACATATTACAATCATATTTACTTATCGAGATTATTAATGCATACAACATATAAAATGGCTTTTAGCCAAATTTGACAGACAGAAAATTGACACAATGAGCAATAGCATTTCGAAAAACAACAGAAAATATATATGGAACATATATATAATATATATATATATAATATATTAAACAATTTATGTAAGCTAATGAACAATGCTTGTGAGATCGTCTCGAATAGAAAAAAAATCAATTGCTGGTAGCCAATTTGTAATGTGATTTTCATAATATTTACATACGTTTATATTTGTAAGTGCATATGTAATGTTGACATGAGATGGTTATTGATGTTGGTGCTGGCGTCAATGAGTTTTATCTGATTTTTTAACAGGGGTCGATCGCTAACTAATTATAAACGAGTGTAAAATGTCGAGTTCGAATAAAAAACTATAATAATTAAGTAAGCTTTTGATGTTTATATGATTTTTGTATTTTGCACTTCTAACAAATTGTAAATTAACCACATTTTGGTTGGCAGCTCAGACATTAGATTCCAAGTTTCCCTACTTTTAAAAGTGCTGAAGCCGCCTAATTTTTTCGAATTATCTGACCAACCCTGTATGTTAGTAGCTCTCTTTATGCTTCTAGCACGGAGTTTAACAATCGAGACATGTGGACGACTTGACGTTAACAAATGTCCGTGAAACCTCTTGCGCATGGTCGCAGCATACACATTCACTTATACATACACAAATTGCCGAGTGTTTTGGTTGGCACTCTCAATAAAACGTGTGACATTTTCCGGAACCAGCGTAAATACGTGTAATACGCAAAACAACACGATGAAAGTATGGTATTTAGACTATTTTGATATTAATCAAATTAATTTGGCTATCAGTTTTATTGTAGCAGTCAAAAGAGCAGGAAGTGTTGGTTTTAGCAACTAAAAATTCTTAAGCGAATAAAAAAATATAAATTAAGTTTCACTTGAAGGACTCTCCCATGGATTTTTTCACGAGGAGTATAAGAATAAAGTAAAGATAAAAATTAAAAAAAAAAAATTGAATGTAATCATAATGTCTGCTGAGAAGGTTGTAAACATGGTGAGCTGCGGAAAATAAATAATTTGTTGTTTGTGAAAAATTTGTAGGACTATAACCTGGCATGCGACGTACATATCGTCCCAAAAACGATGTAAAAGAAACATTTTTCAAATTTAGTTAAATATAAACTTATTTATTTATTATATTAATTTTAATTAAATTTATAAAATCGATAAAGAAATTATATTTTTTAAAATGTGTTGCAACTTATTAGAACTTTAATCGAAATCAATCAAACACAATAAATAATGTTAAGGATATCAGAAAAAATCGCCTGAAAGTATGCAAAAATAAAATGATCAATAGAATGGTAGAATGTGTGTGTTATAAAAGGTGGACAATAAAAAAGAAATCCGAAAAAAACTTCAATAAAGCAGACGTCAACGAAATTAAAAATACAAAAAAAATTAAAAATTGGCCAAAAGTATGCTACAAGCCAGAAATAAAAAGGGTTCAATAAACTCTATAAAAGTGTAGTCCGAAAATAAGGAAATTTTACAAAAATATATAATCCATACTTATATATGTATACATATATATTTATATTTACAAATGTAGAAAATAATTTATTCTGAATGACTAACGGATCATTCAAGAATGCCGTCAATGTTTTGAGTTGAGAATTGAGTTGATGCGGCTGCTGCTACCAGCTAGCCCAATAGGCCCATTTTGATACCGCTGAGGCTCGTGACTTCATCTTCTTAGATGAGCGAACCATTTCGTGTGCCTTATTAAGGCAACGAGATTTTCAATATTCGCTCAGGATACCTCAGCGAGACAAACGAACAAATGTTTCCCCAAGAAAGGCTGGACAGTGGCAGAGGTGTCAGAGTGCTCGATGGTCTCCTCCTCTTCTTCGTACCTACAGCTGCGACAGAAATCATAGGATACCTCAGCGAGACAATCGAACAAATGTTTCCCCAAGAAAGACTGGACAGTGGCAAAGGTGCCAGAGTGCTCGATGGTCTCCTCCTCTTCTTCGTACCTACAGCTGCGACAGAAATCATTAGAATGACAACCCATTCTTTGCCCGTGAAGAACCCATTAAGCAGTGTCCAGTTATTACTGATGAAGAACTGTTTTAGAAGGATAAGATGTTTTGGTTTTTTCAGGTCCAATTTCGGCCATAGCTCTCACGCTTACACGTGATCTCTTTGAACCTTCTAGAGTCAGCTTCTCTGGTAACCCCTGCGGGTTAGGGGCTCAAGAATTTACCCGTGGTAAGGCATGCCTGTCGTAAGAGGCGACTAAAATCAAATAGTTCCCACGACAGTCGGGTCTTTATAACGGAACGACCCGGATTTTTATCCGGCCAAGGACTGTCATTCCCGCTATATTCCTCTTTGCCATGTACAGAAGTAAACCAAAAATGTAAATCATAAAATAGGCCACGTGAGATCCTGCTAAACCATATATAATTCAAAAAGAACACCCACAAAGCAACATTTCAACGATTTATCCTTTATAATTAAGAAAGACATGTTACAAAAGTTAGGAATAAATAGAGATGCAATAGTTTCGAGATAACGAAAATAATGCACATAACTGCAATTAAAAGTTATTAAAAATTATAAATATTTCCCAACCATATTTTTCAAATATTTTCTTGAATGGCCTCAGCGAAAGCTTGAAAAAAAACCTCCACTGCAATAATAAAAATATTTGAAAACCCAAAATAATTCGAAATTTAATTTTCAAATATTTCCTCGCACTGAAACCATAAACTAGAGATGCTGAAAAATAGTTTCAGGACAGGGAAAATAATGAAAATAATGTAGTCCTAGACTTATGAAAAATCTGAACCACAACTAATAAAAATTAATAATTTTTGAAAACTAATTTTCAAATCTCCCTTCCATCTAAATATACTGAAAAAATAGCATCGGCACAACCAAAATAATGCAAGTTACAGCTTAAGATTCAGCTACTATGAAAAAACGAAATATTTGCGAAAATCCGTGTCACTCACAACTCAAAAGGAAACTGAAATAAAATTGGAAAAAGAAGAACAATATGTATTTTCGATATTTAATTTTCAAATATTTTCCATCATCTCCACCTTTTGAAATCGAGTTTTGTATATAATTTTTCACATTCAACCACCCTTCATCCTCTTCCTACAGATCAACTACAGTAACATCAATTTTCCCGAAGATCGTATTTGGGTGCACATACCCGACTGGGAGATGACTCTCAAGATCGCGACATTTTTGCCAGTAATTATATTCGGCTTATACGGTAATTTCGTCATACTACAGCTGATCGTACTGAATCGTGCGCTACGTACACCAACAAATATGCTTGTTGGCAATATGGCGGTCGCTGATCTGTTAACACTAATAATATGTCCAGTCATGTTTATGATCAACGATTTCTATCAGAACTATCAATTGGGTTCGATGGGTTGCAAACTGGAGGGTTTCTTAGATGTGGCTTTTCTCATAACAGCCGTTTTGAATCTTTCAACTGTAAGTTATGATCGTCTAACGGCTATTGTGTTACCTTCGGAGACACGCCTCACCATGTGGGGTGTGAGGTTTGTAATTGCCTTTACATGGTTGGGAGGATTTTTGATAGCATTACCTTTAGCTTTATATAGAACATATAAGGTGAGTAATTTTGCCATGAGAAATAATAAAAAAAAGAAATAATCATTTGAGTTTAATTGGTAAACTTTTTGGTACATATTACTTCAGGTACGACAATGGAAGAACTTTAAGGAGATGTACTGCAAGGAGAATCCTGAAATACTGCCCAAATATTGGTACGTGCTAATTACGGTTATGGTATGGCTACCGCTGAGCGTTATGTTGATTTGTTATTCAGCGATCTTTTACAAGGTAAAACCGCATTATTTTTTCAATTGCTTTATTAAATATTTAATATTTTTCTCTTTCTTTTTTTTTACTTCAACGCTCACGCACAGCTGGATCGCTATGAGAAACGTGTGCTCAATCGTGAACATCCACTTACCGTCTCCTATAAGAAAACTGTAGCCAAAACGCTCTTCATTGTCGTGATCGTTTTCATTGCATTACGTTTACCCTTTACTATTTTGGTCATTTTACGTGATCAATACCTTAACACAAACGATGGCACAGTTAATGCAAGCTTTCACATATTCTGGTATATATCACAATATTTAATGTTTCTAAATGCCGCTGTGAATCCACTGATCTATGGTTTTAATAATGACAACTTCAGACGCGCTTACGATCAGACGCCATTATGTAGCTGTTATAAACAACGACGGAATGAAATCGATGTTAAAGTGAGTGAACGAAGAATATTTAATTATTAAAACTGAAGAATTCTTTACTTTATACACTTTTTTCATTAGAAATCTTCCTGCTGCAATGGCTGCATGTGCTCTGTAATCAAATGGTTTCGTACGATCTTTTGTTGTTTTCCTTTGGGCGCTAAAAATTCGATGTCTGTTACTGAAAACCAACAAGCTCCGCACGCAGAAGTGTTGCGTACAGCCAGAGCATCGGCGGTGGTGTTGTCGGATGTCCGAGCGAAAGAGATGAATATGAATGATGGGCAAACAACATATAATCGTTTCGATAATGAGGGTTACCATCATGATAAAGTTATAAGCGAAGGATTCATATGATTTACATATGTACATACATATGTATAAGCAGAACTTTAGCTGAATATTTTGAATTTATTTTGTTTTTGAAAAATCATATTGTTATTGTATTTTTGAAAGTGTGAAATAAAAAAACATAGAAGAGAGCAGTGAAGCTCTTTAAAATAAGAACAAGTAAAGAAACGAGTAATAGTAGCTGTGTTTCATAAACTTTAGAACACACATCGGAGCTGAATACTCAGAAAGAGAAATATAAATCTTTATCAATAAAAAGCGTTCAAAAATGCATGCTTGACTGTCGCAGATCCACAGAAAATGATTGATTAGCGTAGAGTATTCCTCGCTCCAGTACCTGGTCACAGATACATACATGGAAACTGCAGGACAGACGAACTTACTAGACAAGATATGACGAAATCGAATCGCTTGATAAGGAACTCACTGATATGCTTCGTCAGGATCGGGAAGGTCCTCTACCAGCTGTTCGATAAACATAAACGAATTTTCAGGCAAGGTGAATACATGTATGGGTTTGGTAGTCATAATTTTGTAGCCGTAGAGGGAGAAGACGAAGTTCGGTATACTCGTATTGAAATCGCTTTCATGATAGGCATTTATCGTGTTTTAGGAGGCTTTATTTTCTCTTAGTCGAATATTACAGGTATTTTCTTAAAAAATCTTACAGCCATTTTGATGAGAACTTCATGTTTACAAAGAAATCTATTTCAATTTTATCCGATAGTTCGAAAGGCCTTAGAATGATAAGTGTATTTAGTGAGTTGGTCGCGGAAGAGCATCAGGATCATTATTCCGAGAAATGTTGATACCAAAAAAATTGTTTTTATCTCAGGACTAAATATACGGTATATTTTGAGAAATAATGTTGACTTCTAAATTTTTTTTAATTTTTCATTTTATAATTTTTTTTATTTTTTATTTTTTGAATTTTGATTTTTAAGTTTTCGAAAAAAAATATGTTAAATATATGTATTTTGCGCTAATTTGTCATTTAATATATAAATATTTTTCTTTACCACATGAGTTATTAAAAAATTAATTGAGCTCAAGCTCATTGAGGGTTAATGTAATTTTTAGCAAAATATTTTTCACTTCTCTTCTTATACCCTTTTTACATATATTGTACATACATATATAATGTAAAGCCCATTTTACCGTTATAATAATATTTTGGTGCGCTATCTCTTCTATCCAAGTATATAGTATATAAACACTTTTCATATAGAAATAATCCACAAACAGTAATTACTTGTAGTACACGCTGAACTAAAATCATCTCATATAGTGAATATTCATGGGAAAAAAAATTCAGAGCTTTTTCTAAAATCTTAGATATACAAAATGTTAAACAAAATGCTTGTTCGTATACTAGTATTGATATTTATGAATTGTGTAAATAATTGCATGTGTTTTGATGTGAACTTTAAACCATTTTATGACGCACAACTCGAACCGTTCAATACACAAATACAAAAACGTGAAATGGCGCAGTTTTTCGATAAAGGTAATAAATGAATATTAAAAGAAATGCATAAAACGGGGAAATTTAAGTGGTTGAATACAATTTTGGTTCAAAATATTTCGAAAAGGCAAAAGAAAACGTAGGTCTGGCAAGAAATTCGAAAAAAAACTATTAAAAATAAAAATTAAAAATTTTTTTGAAAAAATATCTATGAAGTTTTTTCTTAAGAAACATTAATGAATTTTTTGTAAAAAAAAAAAAAAAAAACTAAAAAAATCATTCAAATCAAATGAAAATTTGTGGAACTTTTTTTGGAACATTTTTTAGTAAAAAAAAACAATTGAAACTCAGTATAAAAACTCGATTTGTTTATTTCAATTTTATTCTTATTAAAGAAAACTTTGAACATGATGTACTGTACTGACTGTATTGTAAAATATATTAATATGTACATATATATGTATATTTAATAAAAAAGTTGAATTTTTAAGTATACAGTGCCAAACTTAATGAACCTTTAAATTTTTACTTTGCTTTGCTTTGTCGTTTCTACTTAATTTCTACTTCCAAGCAATACTCCTCCCTCCCCTCACTCTACGCCAATCCAAAGAGTTCTTTCTTTATGTAACCCGATTTGTGCGCTTCCAAGTATTTCATGAATAGTCCCATATTCATAAAACCTTCCTCATTATCGAGATCATCGCAGAAGATTTGCTCTTTGAAGCCCTCAAAACGACGTCGTTGTTGTAATTTTCCCAACCACACTTCGCTCTTACAAATTGTTATATGCTGCCAGCGCATTGATTTGAGTATACGCCAAAATTCTTGTGTTTGCTCACGTGTACCCTCCACGCAGATGACGCCCGGCTTGCCAGGGCGTGAGAAACCGGTCAAATCTAAATTATGTGCCTCCTTTTGTATTTCTTGACGTTTCTTCTTCGATTTAATGTGATGCGAATAGATCCACAAACGTTCACATTCCACCGCATTTTCATTCTCTTCCGTCATCAACTCCTGTTTCGGCCCAAATTCACTGGCATCACGCATAATCACGGAATTCAATTTATCCTGCAGCCAAGAGACCACTTGAAATATATAACATTCCGATTTATCCATTGTCTCGATAAACTTTTCTATTTCACGCTTCAAATACACCTCTTTGGCTTTGCCTAACAAGGCACTGAGGATCGTAACAATCGCATTCTCTAACAGTGGATAGAGATTGGGTAATTCAATGCGTATCTCCACTTTCTCTTTAGACTTGCCATGCAACACATCCACAGCGATTGTGTAGTCCAAATGGGCTTTGAGTGTGCTCGAGGGCATGGCTGTAGGCGTATTGAGGAAATCATTAAAGTCGCTGATGACGCTCGCATCGATAATCTGCATTTCGCCGGGTGTACAGTAGATTGATGAGAGCAAGTCCACCTCCTCGAGTTGTTTAGTAATGCATTGCACATAAAGTTCACGTTCGTCCAGTTGGCCGTGTTGTTCCATATTTGTTTTTTTTTTTGGATATCAATTTTTTGTTTGCTGTAAGAACAGAAATGTTTCAATCAGATCGATATATAATAAATTGGTGCATAAACATACCTGAGATATGTATGTAATATGCCCAAGTATATTATATACCAATAGATAAGTAAATATTTCTGTACTTGTCTTAATATAAATTTCTAATCATATACACGTACATATGTATGTATGTTGGTGGTAATTACAGTAAGTACCTATAGACTTTTACAACAAATATTAAAAAACGGTAGATAACCAAAAACAAAAACATAGAAGATATGATATTTTATAATCTCATACTTCTTAGCAGATAACTACAGTGAAAAAATCTTCAGGCTAGAACTTTGTATTAAAGAATTATAAAGCTGAACTCCCCCTGAGAGCGCTGTACCAAATAGGTGAGACATGTTTCCTACTTTAAGAAATGATCCATTGATTTTACTTCCATATGAATGATTTTATTTGTGAATGTCTGCAAAAAATTGTGCACTTCAGTATCAATTACCTATGTATGTCCTTGAACACTTCCAACTAATGTTTCTATTGTATTTACTCGAATGTAGATAGGTCGTTGTCCAGTACCTAGTATATGAATGATTCTATGTATACATGAATGCAATATTTGTATATACCTGTTTGCAATTTCTTTAAAACTTTTTTAAATGAAAACAAGAAGAGCAGTCTTAGTTCTGATTAAGTATTAATTTTCATATCTGAAAGCTCGGTTGTATGAGTATAATGAATACCAAATATGGTTTTAGATGTTTTTTGTCGGGTTTTTTACCTAAAACCTAATATCTGAACAAATCGGCTGAGTGGGAGCTGTACGTTATAGTCTTGCGATTTCGATAATTTTCACTAGAATTCATTATACTATATATATATGAGTACATATTTATTCTTAAATGCATCATTGAAGTATTTTTGACCAAAAACCTCATATCTGATCGCCTCAGTTGTAAGGGAGCTATATACGAGTATATTTATATAGTACTTTAATCTGGCCGGTTCCGACAAATGTTAAATACTGCACTTCTGCTCACAAAGTTTAGTTGAAATACAGTGGCTCAATAAAGAAGTCGGACATACAATCCACTCTTATTAACATGCAACTTCAAGGCAGATTTTTTTTAACCAATTGATATTAAGCATTTTTGTTTTTTCTGTTTCTATAGGGTATCTAATAAGGATTTAGTTTTAGTGAAAGCAAATTTAATATATTTTGGTCGGATGGACAGTCGTATGTTTGGAGAAAACCGAATGAAGAGTTGCTAGAAAAGTATTTACGTCCGACTGTTAAACACGGGGTGGCTCAGTAATGATATGGGGTTGTATGTCCGCAGCTGGTGCTGGAAATTTGTGTTTCATAAATGGTAATATGGACCACAAGCAATATCTGACGACTTTAAAAGAAAATTTAGTGCAAAGTGCGGAGAAGATGGGAATTAAAGACAATTTCCAGTACTACCAAGACAACGATCCCAAGCATAAAGCACTTGATGTCCGTCTATGGTTGATGTATAACTGTCCTAAAGTTCTTGAAACACCTCCTCAATCTCTCGACATTAACGTAATTGAACATCTGTGGCCTCATTTGGAAAATAAACTGAAAATGCATGTTATTAGAAATAAGAAAGACCTAGAAGCCGCTATTTTGGAAGAGTGGGATAAAATAAATTCTTTAAAATGCAAGAAGCTAGTTGAATCTTTGCCAAGAAGACTGAATGCTATCAGAAAAAGTAAAGGCTTGCCGACCAAATATTAAGAATATTTTGTTTCTCTTTAAATAATATTTTTAAATTCTATGTTATGTATATGTCCGAGTTCTTTTTTGTCATCAGTTTTATTAAGTTGTTATGTTCCTATTATTTTTATACGACCGAGTTGAATTTAGTTTATGATTTTGGTTGTTTTGAAAAATACACTTGAAGAATAGAAATATATGTATGTTAAACAGAAAGCCCTCGATTTGCATTTTATTATACATTTTTTTGTTTAAAGTCATATAAGTTGTGTGTCTGAGTTCATTTTTGAGCCACTGTATCTCAACAACTGAGGGCATAGCTAAATCAACTCGTCATTCTGATCAAGTCGATACGGATATTGATGGTTCTATTTAGTAAGCGACGTGCTTTTATTTATATTTTCGCAATATATATTTTTTAACAAGAACTTTTTATAGTGCGCCTTCTATCGAAGAAACCAAATCATTTTTTTTATTTATTTATTTGCCAATTCAATTCTATTTTCCAGCTGCCTATTCTTTTAATGGCTTAGATAAAGTTCAATCTGTGCCTGTACCATTTCCTATTGATATTTGTATACTCTCATTGGAGGGGGTAAAATATGCAGCTTCATTGCATAGAAACAAAAATGGTGTGCGTCATTTTACGGTGTATAAAAATGTGGTATGTACCGTTATTAGAATTTATTCCACTTCTGATTTGATTGCTTTACTTTTGTAACTATGTAGGATAACAACTATCATGAACTACACAGTATTGCCGTGCCTAATGCTACTGCAATAGATTGTAAATCACTCGGCGCAAAGGGCTACATTGCGCTTGCCCTAAATATTACACAAACAATTGAGAATGCGCGTGATGGCTCACCAATACTTGTACTCACCGCTGATGATCGTCTACGGGCTGTACAATTTTTCGCCACTAAAAATCTTTACTCGGTATATTTACGCACGACGGCCAATGATTTATTTATGTTGCAAACATTACGTAGCTCCAATGAAGCAACAAATCCACATTGCCCCTACTATAAATGGTCGGGTACATCGTTTACACTACTCGCACGTTTACCATGCAGTAATGCGCGACATATCGAACCGTTCGCAATAAATTATGAAAATTATGTGGCTTTGGCGAATTATGCTGATCAAAGAGGGCGTACGACAACATATTCGGAAATTTATAAATTTGTGCGTGAAAATAAACGTTTTCAACTCTTTCAAAAAATACGCACCTATGGCGCGGTGGATGTGCGTTACTTTAGCGCACCGTTGGATGAGGTGAAGAGGCGACATTTTCTGGTTTTCGGTAATTCAGTTAGTAGAAGTAGTGGTGGCGATGTCAATGAAGCGGATTCTATTTTTTATGTATTTGATAAGGGACAATTTGTGCCTTATCAGAGTTTGTCATTATATGCCGTAGAGCAATTTCTGCCGGTGCAGAATGCAGATGCGGAGAAATTCTTACTGCTTGTCGCTTGTAAGGATCAGGATACGAAAATTTATAATCTAAATGATTGGAAATTCGAACAGTCGAATGTGCAATTCACTGAAGGCGCTTTGGGGCGTGGTGTATCGAAAATGAGAATTCATCAGGAAAGCGAAAAAAGCTATTTAGGTAAGTTTTAGGTTTGGAAAAAGATAAAGCCGTCTTATGACCATGCCTTTCGGACGCATTTCGTTTATTTTTAGTGATCGCAAATGAGATGATGACCGAAAACGATACAAACATATTTTTGCCGATATTCAAACAAGACGAACACGCCAACGCTTTGCGTCAACAAATAATCGATTGGACGAAAATGCAGATTGAGCGCTTGGCCCAAATTGATGTTAATAAATTACAGAAAGAAGTAGAGGTGAGACAAAAGGACTTATAAATTAGAAAGGGAAATTATATTAAATTTCATACATTTTCTTCAGCAAAAACTAGCACAAAACCAACGTCCAAGCATCAACACACAGGTGCATGACATTCCAAAGTCTAATATACAAACTGTGACCACAAACTCGGTAAGAATTTTTTATTCAACACATAAAATATAAAAAAAAAAGTAAAACTAGAAATTGTCTTTACTATTTACTGTCTTAACGCACACAGTTCGTCTATCCGAAACACCACTTCACCACTCACTACTGGCAGGCTTTGAATTTGGCTACACAAGCTTTGAATGGTATAGAAGCAGAATTGAAATCCAATGTTAAAAGACGTCTCAAACGTGACAGTAACACTACAGAGTCGATTCCAGAATTCGCTAACCTCAAAGTAGACACGCTCGTTGTGAAGCAAGCGTTGAACGCAGAGAAAGTGAATGGCGTTGACGCTATACGTCCAACTTTTGACCAAATTAGGGCCATAAAAGTACGCGTAACACGTAGATATCAAGCAACCGAACGTACGACGGCTGAGCCTACGCTGCAGGATGCAGATGACTTTGCCTCGCCAGCTCGAGGAGTTGAGGCGCCCGAAATGGTTGTGAAAAATTTACTAATCAATGGTAGTTTAAATGAACACAAATGGAGCGATTTACTCAACAACACACTCAAGCGCGAGGGTGTAGAATACATTAAACAGCCGGCGCATATTGTAAATCTAATAGCGGAATCTGTAAGAGTGCTAAACGATGAAATTGATGGTAACAGCTTGAAGGAACTAATACCTATCGACTTCGGCGTTGGTAAATCTGTTGAAAAAACCTTTGAAATTAATCAATCAGTGCTCTTTGAAGGGCCTGTAAAGGCCAAGGAGCTGCACATACGAGAGCGTCTCAATCACATACCTGTGCGACAAGATAAGCTAGAAGTTCTCTTGAAACATGTGAATACAACGCAGATGGTGGAAGGGGAAAAGAGATTTGAGAATGTGCGCATTTTGCAACCAATCGCAATGGCGGTAAGTGAAGGGGTAAGTATTTAGAGTAATAGTAAAGTGTTGTCTTAGATGCGATGTTTTCAATGTGGCAATGCTTTTCCGGAGTTAGTCTTTTTGACAACGTGTTACTTGATTTATGCACAGTATGGTTTGTCATTTCTTAATGGAGAGGCCTACTGACTAGTGAATAAAGCCCGTCCTCAAAAATGCCGTACAGTGCACCCAGAAGGCGCTATTGCTCCTGTGAGGCAGAGTAACAAAGAAGACCTAAATGCATCCACCCGCGCAACAATTGGAGCTATGCCCGTCTACTTTATGGAAGATTTTGCGATTTGTGCGAGTATTGAAGCCGAGTGTCCAACAATGAAAATGGCCATAATGTTGCAGTCAATGGGGAGCGTTATAGAGTCGAGATGAATAAATTATTCGTGTCTGAATTGGAGGATGTTGTCGCGGAAGACCTTGGGTTCCCACCAGACGGCGCTGACAAAATAATCAATTTGTTATAGGCTTTTGGTGAACGCATTGGAGCCGCCTTCAAGATCAAGCGATTTAACGTAGATGAGCCTGAGACGATCGAGGGCCTGGAAGAAAATACTTGGTGCGGTTTTTATGTGGTACAGCCCCAAATTACTGCAAAAATTAAACGGAAATTGGGCCTCTTTGCAGGAATTTATTCGAGTCTGCCGCCGCGGTCCTTGCCCGATATCATTTTTAAAACATATTAGCAAGTCCTGACCTCCAAACTATTGGCCAAAAGAATCACATGTCTAAAAACAAAAACCCTTTATATGTTACCGTTAAAAAATATCTTTAAAATATGGTTTAAGTGGTATAAACCGGAATTAAGTACTTTATTACTCTAAAATCCTTACCCCCCTCTGTTAGGGTCAAATGCTCGGCGCGCGCTTACAATCCTTATCGTCGCGACAAATTATACACGATGATCTCATACTCAACGGTGATTATACGATAAAAGGCGATGCAATTATTTCGGATCTCCTCACCGTCGACGATTTAATAGATGAAAACTCACGAATGAGCACCAAGCATTCACTAATGAATGGACTGGATATTACACAACCGTTGGAGAATGTTAACATCAGGTTCGAACAACCCGTGGAGGCGAATAACACGCAACTCACCTTCATCAATGCCGTCGATATGCAACAATTGGTTAAGACAAATTTCAAAGGCCTACAGGTGATCGAGGGGGAGAAACATTTCAAACAGACACTCACAATACACCGAGGTTTCACTGAGGTGAAATACTTGAACGGTGTGGATGTTGAAAAACTAAACGAACGTTTGCTCCTCAAGAGCGTAAATCAGAGCATCAAAGTGCCAATGCATTTCGGTCACATAGAAACGCCCGAGTAAGTGAAAAAATTATAATAAAAAAATATATATATAAATAATATGGATAATAATAATAAAAACAAACCCTAATTAATTTTCATTTCAGCATTGTGGCTCCCAGTCTTATGTTGAAGGACAAGCCTCTTGATGCGTATGTCACACGCACCGGCGCCCAACATCTGCCAGTTACACTCACGGTTGCCGAATTAAGTGCACAAACCTTGAATCTTGAGCGTTTGCATGCCAATGGTCATATTTTTGGCAAGTCAGTGCTGGCGGACAATAGTCATTCGCTAATGGCGCAGTTATTGTCAAAACGCATTGATATCCTGCCACCACAACATAAATTTCCAAACACAATATTTGTCGGCAATTTACGCTTGAGCGACGGCAGCATTAATGGGCGCAGAGTGCGCGATGTAGAAAAACAACTGCAGCATCTTAATGACGATATACATTTTGAAGGGAATTACAAATTCAATTACGACATGAACATTAGTCATTTATCATTTCAAGGGAAATTCAATGATATTCCTGCAGAGGAGTTTGGCCGAAGTTGGTTACAGAAGAGTGGCACACAAGTTTTTACCGCCTCTCAAAGCTTTTCGGAAGTAGATTGTTCGCAGGGAGTACAACTTGATGGTTCTCTTAATGGATATGAAGTAGATGATTTCTATACCAAGACCTATTGGATAAATCGTGATGAGTACATCGATGATATGGAATTTCGTAAGTGATTGAAGTATCATCTGTATGGTTTTGTAGCAAAACACATTTTTAGTAGATAGAGAGAGCCGTATTGGTAATGATTGTTGTGTTGATGATTTTCCTAATTATTCTAAGAGTAATGATGATAGCATGGGTTGTTGTTGTGGCGACCAGATGTATCCGTTTACAAGCAGACAAAACTAATTAATGTCTTCGGGCTCGAACCAAAGGGAAAGTGCACCCGTTGCATGCGGAGCATACATACGCCGAATATGTTGGGATAGAGTTTGGTAGCATTGGTAGAGTCTAATATAGTTTGCAGCCCTTATAATCCACAATTACTCGGGTCACAGAGTGCAGCTCGAGCTATAGTGTAGATATGAACTATACTACTACTGAGTAGGTGTTCAAAAATTTCGTCGCGGCAGGACATGCCTGTCGTAAAAGGTAATTAAAATCAAAAAGTTCTTTTTATGCTGAAACTACCCGGTTTTTTATCCGACCAAAGACTGCCACTCCCGCAACATTTCCCAAAAACTACTATGGGGAATATTTTTGCAGCTACAACAAAAACACAACAGCTCTTTGTATGTTGCAGCTGATGATTTAGATTCTGAAGAGGGCATCTAATGGAAGAAAGTTCACGAATATTTTGACTGACTTCCAATAGAGGAATATCGTTTAGGTTCTACCGCGCTCAGCGGTCCTGTAATCTGAGTTGGTTTGGATAGATCTCTTTACATTAGAGGCATACGTTGAGTATGACTGGCCAAGTGTGGATAGATAGGATTTAAGCCGTCTACAATACCTAGTTCTTACTCAGTACTAGTATTACTTGGGTTTCTTGCGGCAGCTTGAGCTCTTGGTCTGCAATTATTTATACTTGAATTCCGAGAATGCCATTCATAGGACGAGATTTCATGAAGGTGTTGACGGACTCTCGGTCTTCCGCTCCGCGCTCGTATTTGGCAGTTTGAGTAGACGGTGGATCACTGTTTGGTTCCATCAACTTAAGTGTGCAGTGTAAAGAGTACGAACGAGGCCACTGAATGAAAATACCACCCGAATTTTACGTCTTGTCAGCTTGAATAGAGATTTGGCAGTGGTCGCAAACTTGGTTTCATTTGCTCCGCTAGTTTGCCAGCTTCGGAATCGCTCGCCATATTGAGGACCATGCACGCCTTAATGCTCGATCAATTAGGAAATTTAGACTGGAATTGCACTGAAGTGCGGTTTTTGTAGAAACTATTTAGTAGATAAATTTTCAAAAACGTCGCGTTTAATTTTAATCATTGATACATGTTAATATCCTTCTGTCTGTTCTTAGAAAATCCCATTCAAATGCAAGCACCACTTAGTACAACCACGTTAAATGGCGTCCACGTACCACTGGATATAATTCACGCCAACTCAACTACGCCGCAAATACTCTACAACAGCGCTTCAATTCATGGACATCTAAATGTAATTGGTGTTGGCGGTGTTCATAATGTGTCCGCTTTAAATGGTATAAACCTCGCGGAACTACAACGGTTTCTCAAACTAGGTTATGATGGTAATACATTGCATGTGGAACATGCAAGTTTTGAACAGGCACCACTTTATCATACATTAAATCATTACGAATTGTCGACTGTTCTTGACAAAGTTTGGCTGACTAATGAAAATGTGCGCCTAAAACACCACGTCGAGTTGGCGAATGTCACCTTTGAGGGTCTCTTGGACTTTGAGGTACTTTTTTTGTTCTTTATATAAAATGTTTGTTTATTTGCGAAATAAACATTTTGTTGTTTTTTAGGGTCCAGTAAATAATTTAAATTTACATTATTTGAAAGAAAATTATTTGAGTTTATCTCGATCACAAAATGTTGCTACCGAATTGATTTTGGCTAACGATGCCAAATTCGAGGGAGACCTTACTGCTAACAACGTACAACTAAATGGATTGTTGGTGGAAAGTAGAAGGTAAGAAATATTTTGCAATTTAATGATTGTGAAAATACAAATATTTATAGAAAGTAAACAATTGTTTTGTACCAGAACATCGCAACTCACTTTGACTGGTTACTCCAGGTGAGCAAAATGAGAGTATATGTATGTGTAGGTTTATGCTCAGATTTAGTACGATTTCTCATTTATTTAAGCAATAAATTAAAATCTATATAGTTATTTACGTGCGAACCAACAATTTAGCACAAAATAACTGTCGTTTACCTTGTATTCTATTTTACCTTATAAAATAATAAACATAAAAGAGAAAATCAATTCACTGCGAAATTTGATAGCCACTGTAATTAATTGGCTGAACAAAGCAACGAAAACGAGGAGAAACAAAAACAGATGATTCATAAATCAATGCGCAGACGAAAACCAGCCAATAATCATTCTAATTCTATGCAACTCAAAGATTTATTATTCAGTCTTAATATTGTATACATTACCTTTTTATTATTACTATTTTTTGCACATTAGATTTTGCAAATTTTCTACACCAAAAATAAAATCGAAGGCCACACACGAGATACACTTCACTTATTTACTTCAACAAAACATGAAAACTGTCAATGAATGTGAAATGCTGCCACCAAATGGAGTTTAGTCAATTGTCATTTGCAGATCCAAACTGTAATGCCTCAATTTGGGGAATATTTAAAAGATGTGAATTTTTCACATTTTTTAGGTTTAAAATTCAAGACAGTTATTAAATAATTTTATGTAAATTAAAGCTATGCTTTTACTCAGTATAGCTTGTATTAAAAATTAAATAAATGCAAAACAAGAATTACGTATGTTAGCATGGCAGCTCTACCAGTTCCGGATGCATAAATGCAGTTTTTAATTTACATCAATACTAGAGATATATTTATATTAATACTAGAGACAAAATGTTAAAAAAAACTGCATAAAAAATACTTATTCGGCAGCAAAGCTCAACTCACTTATACCTGTTTTCCCATTCCAGTGATTTGGCTACCAATTTTGATGAATTCGTTGCAAATACACTGAAATCAGATGGTCCTAGTGAAATTCGTGGCGGCTGGAGCTTAGTAAACGCACTTATACAGGGCGATCTAGGAAATGTGCAAATAAATAACTTGAATTTGGCACAAGATGTGTTGCGTTTGGATATGCCTTGTGCGCCGATAACCGCACCAAAGCACATAAAAGCCGCAAATATTCAAAAATTATATACCGCAGCAAGTAGTACAATACAGGGTGTACCAATAGCCAATTGGATGCAATCAGCAGTGTATGTTCATGGCAATCACACAATTAACGGTAATACTACGCTCAATACCGTTAACATGTATAACGATTTAAGAGTGTTAGGTACCGTCAATGATATTTCAAAATTCGGCGAAAAAACCTTAATGTTGCGTAATATACCAAAACAAATTTTGCATGGTGATTTGTACATAAATAATTTGCTACCTAAAGATGGGCGAATTTTGATAAATAGCTTTGAAAATCTACGTGCCAATAGCGTCAATGGAGAACCAATGGATGAGTTTTTTGCACAATATGCTAAAATTTCAAGGAACGTTACGGTCGAAGGTAATTTGGTGTTTATGCAGCCAGCGGTTGCGCAGCAATATCTAAATCGTGCTGAGCATGGAATAAAAAGCAAACGTAGCTCAGCCATTAAGGGCAGGAGAAATCATGTGAGTGAGATGCCCAATTGGAATGCAATGTTTGCGATGGCAGAAGAGCTAAAAAAGTTTGCAAAAGGTAATAACTTGAATATTTATAGATGCTTTTTCCGGTCATTGTTATGTTGGATAATTGTGGGTTCTAGTTTTTATGGTGCTGTCTCAGACCATATATACATATTTGTGTATATATAATTTTTTTTTTTTTTTTGGGAAAAGTGATAAATTAGAATATTTTGGGAACCACCATATTTCCTCATCAGACTTCTTTTTTCCGACATTTTTGGGACGCCCACAGCACGATCTAATGGTTATTCTATTACGCTACATGTGCGCCGCTTTCACTAGTCGCTGTTTTTTTAACTTTTTTTCTTTTTACATACATACATATCCATAATCAAGTGCTCAGATATTCTGCAGTAGTAAGCTTGTCGCGATGTAATTGTTGTTGTGAAAATTTCCTAACAAATCTTTAAGACCACGTCTTTTTTTATTAGAGAATTTCCTTCCAACGCGAAAAAAGGAATTAAAAATGAAGCAAAAATATAATTGATTTACGTCCACTTCTTTCAGCGTCTTATAATACCTTGGATGGTTTTGATATTGCTCAAACACTTGCAATCACAGCTACCGAACTTGTACACATAAAATTAAGCGAAGAAACCGATGTTGTGGTTGATGTAATTGGAGCTATAGATGAAAATAACAAGACTTCACCGTTGCAGTATTACCAATGGTCGCAAGCTGAAAAACAATTTTATCCAATGCAAGGTAAGTGCAGAAATGTATTTCCATTAAAACATTGCTTTTAATTAAACAAAAACCTCAGTGTTTATTTATGTACTATATATAATTATTTTATTAATTTTAAATAGCAATGAAATTACCCAATCATTATAAATACTTCTTATGATATTCGAATATTTAGTCATACAAATCTTTAAACTCATTAAAAAAATAATAATTGGAAATCATATTTTTAAGCACATAAAGTCTGATAAAGATGTTTTAATATCGTTTACATTCCATGCTTGTATTTCGATAGCTGATAGCCTTATAATAAAAATGTTCATGCAAAATTTAAACGATCTTGGCGATGTAAAAGTAGACATACATATTAACAAATTTACGTTTAATACGTAAACAGCGTAAAAAATTATTTTAAAATACTTCTCTCGAATGAAACTGGAGTACTCTAGCTCTTTTGTCTTAAAACCACAAGTTACTTTTTTACTGTTCCAATTCGTCGCTTTGGACATCGATTACTGCTCGCAATATACCCAATTCAAGTTTTGCAGCGGAACGCGGTCGTAAACGATTCATTACGTTGGCTACGTAAAGACCCAAAGCTTCATGTCGTGATGAGTTGCAAAGATTTTTGAAAAATGTCGGTGGCAGTGAGTTGTCGAAATTACCCAAATTAATAATACCACCAGTCGAATTTGTATGATTAGCAGCCCTGGTAACAGCCCCATTAATTTGCCCATTTCCAGAATCAAATATAATATCATTACGAAAGTCAATCTCTTCCAGTCGCGGTGAATATCCATTTGTTGATGTTGAAGCAACTGTGGCAGCAGTTGAAGAGGATGGCCCGCCAACTCCAACACCATTCGTTAATTCAACTCTTGGATTACCAGTTATTGTAATTAAATTTATGCCTGCGGGCGGATTACTATTATCACTAGGTTCCTGTTTAATTGTAACCTCCGATTCAGTATTTAAACCAATGATACTTTCTTGTAAATTTGAGCTACTGTTATTGGCGTTGTTTGCAACCGATGTGTTTCGTTGGGTCGATGTTGATGTGGTTGTCAATGAAGATGTCGTAGATGACTGATTATTGTTAGGTTTTTTAGCAGGCTGTGGTCCTGGCTGCATTTCCACTAATTTACGTTTAATTGATTCAGGCAAGGGTATAGTTTCGCCGACGCCTAATACCGGACCAGCCCCTCGTGTAGATGAATTTTTCTGTTGTGCGCTGCTGCTTGTCGATTGGCCCACACGAGATGTGCCACTAGTTGGTGTTGCAGTAGTAGAAATCGATGAAGTTTTCTTCACGGTTATACCCTTCTTATGTAACGCAGCGGCTGTGACTGCTGCCGTTTGGCTGGCTGTTGGCGGTCGGGATGAAGGTGCTAAAGAATTCAATAATTTTTTTTCCTCAACTGCTGGAGAAGCAGATTTTTTGGAATTAACTGTTGCAGAAGTAGTAGATTTCTGCTGTGGTTTAGCTAAAACTTTTTCGTCCTTTTCGGGCGTTGTTTCATTAGAGCCACCAGATCTCATTGACTTTGTTGGACTTTCACTGTCCGATGTACCAGATGTTTTACCTTGCCCTGCCGCTGGCTCCTCTTCCTCTTGTACTTCAAGCATTTCGTATTCTTCATCTTCCTCCATAGACACCATGCCATCACTGGAACAAAATTATGAATTATAAATAAATTAAAAAAGTGTATGTATTGAAAACATACTCATCCTGTTTAGCATCCTCCTCTTTCATTGGCTGGTGTATTTGTTCCATTAAATCGAAGAGCTTCCATGATGGAGTGCGCTTGGTCTTCTCTTGTTCATATTTCTTTTGAAGTACTTTGAATATGGACCGAGCCTCGTGTACTGTGATAATTTATTTTAAGTGATAAAATAAAACTCCATATCCTTAATTGTACATTATATTTACCGGATAATTTATTATTTTTTCCTACGCGCGCCCAGGCATCGTCTACTTCTTTTTTGCTTGCTGGCGGAAAATTCGGATGTAGAACTTTTTCCTCAGCTATATCTGCCAATATTTTGTCAAGTTGTATAGGCATTATGAAGCTACACTGTTATTTTCGTACGCCACTAGGTTTATAATTTATTTCACGAGCACAATTAATTGTTACAAATTTTTACGCCTCTTTTACTATTTTTTCGTTTACTTTTGAAACTTTTCTGTTTTTGTGTGTGTAATTTCCGAATGCAGCAACGCGTTCTAGCAAAAAACAAAGCGGCTAAGCAATGAAATGAAACGGCGCGTAATGTATGTGTTTTGCAAAATACGCTGGGAATTGCTATCGCTATCTTGTTCTCTCTTATATCCAATGAACGGAAATTAAAACGCGAACTACAAGTGCTATTTCGCATTCAAGGCCGTTACGAAAGGAGATGTTTGGAAAAGTTTAAAATGTAGGGTTGCATGTCGAAAGCCATAGAATCTTTAAAATGTTACCAAAAAAACATCGCAAATAAAAAAAATTTGGCAAGAATATCTATGTTTTTATTTATTAAATTTTTTATAGGCAAATAATTAAGTTGGCTACTTAAACTACTTTTGTGGGCGGAAATAGTAAAAAGTTTGAGACCAACTGTAGTGATAAAGATTTAATCTTCAATAACAAAGTTCAACGTAAATAATGCGATCAAGTTTCTAAAATATACCTATTTACACAGATCGGTTTTATATATATTACAAAGAATGCAGTTGACTTTAAACATATTTTGTTGTTTACTATCCGGATTCGTAAACGTAGCTACTGAAAAATCTTTTCTGAAAATTAAGGATAACAGATCTTTGCCACTTGTTATTAATACCTGGTCGTTTACGGAAGCTAATAGCGCTGCTTGGCATGTACTAAATCAAAAGCCGAATGGTAATGCTTTGGATGCGCTTGTCGAAGGTTGTGCAACATGTGAGCGTCTACAATGTGACGGTACTGTGGGCTATGGAGGCTCACCGGATGAGAACGGTGAAACTACACTTGATGCCATGATTATGGATGGTAGCAACATGAATATTGGAGCTGTTGCAGGTCTACGTCAAATTAAAGATGCCATAAATGTAGCAAGACACGTATTGGAGCACACAAAGCATACACTGCTTGTCGGTGATGCCGCAAGTAATTTCGCCGAGATGATGGGATTTCAGCGAGAAAGTCTAACAACCAATAAATCCATAGATATTTTGGAAGCATGGAGGAATAACTATTGTCAGCCAAACTACTGGTTAAAAGTATATCCAGAACCTACTGAACGCTGTGGGCCATACAGACCAATCTCATTAGCTAATAGTGAATTACGAAATTACCTGTCACGCTACGAATATCAAATTGGTCGGTATAATCACGATACAATTGGCATGATTGTTGTTGGTCCAGGTGGGCAAATTTATGCTGGAACATCAACAAATGGTGCAACGCATAAAATACCCGGTCGTGTAGGAGACTCGCCTATACCCGGTGCAGGTGCTTATGCTGATAACGAAGTGGGAGCAGCTGTAGCTACAGGCGATGGTGATATAATGATGCGTTTTCTACCTGCTTTGGTAGCTGTGGAAGGTCTACGAGCTGGTCGAACACCAACGGAAGCAGCAGAAGTATCGATGCAACGTATAGTACGGCACTATCGCGATTTTAGTGGAGCATTGGTTGTTGTGGATCGTTTTGGCAATTATGGTGCTGCTTGTGTGGGCATGGAAAAATTTCCATATTCAGTTGTGAATGGTGATGCAACGCAAAAGACAAGGGTAGAATACACATATTGTAAAAGAGCGATGTATTTGTAATGCAGATTTTATGCTGACGCTAATAAAATTTTTTGGTAATACTAAAAATGGGGGCTACTCTTGTTTTCAAAGACTATAAAATTTATTCAAATTCCCTACCGGCTACGGGAAACGGAACTTTGGCCTATCTTCCGGTTTAACACAAACTGTTATCATTTCCAACACAACTTTTCTAAAAATAAAAATTGTTTCTCACTTTCTTACAGGACATTTAAGGCCTACGAAAAAGACACAGTTAACTGAATTAATAACGTTTTTATTCAGTGGAATCGATTGCGCAGACACTACGAGTGAAATTGATACGAATTATCAGTTATCAAATCTCAAAAACGTTTTTAAAAAGTTTTTGAAGAATAAGAAACTCTTAATTTCAAAACCGAAGCCACTCACAATAGAAGGCGAACCTTGCTTTAGAACTCTCCCAACACCGGAAGCGAATATAACACAAATATATTGCATAAACGGAAACTATACTATTTACGAAAAATTCTTAATACCGAGGAGAAACATAAAAGAGGTAACAATAGATTTTAACACACATTTTAATAATCATCAATATTCCTTTAACCATTCAGCTACAAGTATCCGGAACGACAATAGCCGTACTACTCCCTAACTGCGTTGAAATATGGACCATACAAACAGATCCGAAGCTGGTTCTACGTCTACCGACCTTGAAGTCCAACGGAATATCTAGCGCTACATTCAAAAATGAGACTTACTTGGCCATCCATACCGATAAGGAGATAAATAGCTTACACAATGGTTCTGTGGACATTTATATGTATGTATCAACAATAAATATTTCTTCTTTTAAATCTATAAATACTAACTATTATCTTTTCCTAGATATACAAATTCTACACATTTGAACCATATGCAAAGATTAGATTGTTTGGATTGTTTACAAATATCCCTGAACAAGATCGAATTAACTGGCGATCTACTATTATTTATCCTGACGCAAAATACGGCAGCACCATTATTAATTTATCAGTATAAAGGAGTTTTGGGGTTCCAGCAAATCGTTGGCGCAAGCACTTTACCTACTGCAATTTCATTCTGGATATTAAATTTGGAAAATAGCGCTAGGCAAATGATTGCCTTACTAGGCAGTGAAGAAATATCATTTGTGGAAATTACAATGCGAAAATTTTAAAATTTTTTTGTTAAATATTCAAATAAAATTGTATTAATAAAGTTAATAATCAATAAGCTTTTTTAATTAATCAATTACATATCTATAGATATGAAAGAAAAAATAATTGAAGTTCTAAATTTGACTTCACTGCTGTTTCACGTTTTCACAACAAAACTGAATCTTCTTGATTTACACTGATAAGGACTTTTTGAGAACATCACTACACATTTCCTTCAATATTTTAATATTTGATTTTGCATTAAAAAATGAATTTATTAACGTTATTTTTTATATTTAATAAATTTCTAAACCCGGACGATTTAATTAATTAACTGCAATGATACATGCAACTTTTCATTAATCTTATTTTTAATCATCGCTGGATTCTACATTTTCTGTTTGCAAATTTTTGAATGTGGCAACTGGCACGTATGTCACCAAGGTGTACAATTTATTGGGTGAATCCTCATCATCGTTTCTCCTACGAGCAAGACGTACACGTACGCGCACTGGAGTAGAACTGCAAAGATAAAAAAAAAAAAAATAAATAAAAATAAACAATATTAATTTACAATCACAATAAGGTTGTTAGGCTCGTTAGCAATACTCACCGGATACCCTTGTTCCAGATGTGCTTGTTCAGGCGAGTATCGATTCTCACATCATTGGTGCCCATTTCCTTCTCAGCAAATTTGCGGATTTCCTTGATCGCGCGTGGTGCACGTTTCTTGAAACCGATGTTGTGCACACGCTTCGACAAGTGAATTGTGCACTCGCGCGTTACTACCTCATTGATGGCAGATTTGTTACGCTTCTCAACCTTTTTTGTTTTCGCCATTTTTTACTGGAATTACTTGCCTGCTAACAAACTCCTGTAAATTAGAAAACATTAAGATTAAGATTACGTCGTAGAATTTTCCTTTAAACTAGTGTATATATCACAAGCAATTGTTGATATTCCAACAATGGTTGTTCAACACTTTCAACACCGACAATTCTGCACTTTTCTAATTATTGTTTTCCGCACATATTGCTAACGCGATATATAAAAATTTTTGCCGATTTTAACAAAAAAGTATTTACAAAACACAATTTCACATATTTTATCAATTAGAATTTGCAGAATTCTTCGATGTTTTAGGATTTTTATTAAGAAATCTACGAAAACCAACCTATCGGAAATGAAAGCCTGACGTAAAAGAATCTGACAGCCGTCAAAAACTAAAAACGTCAACGCCATTTTTTTCCACTTCAAAATTTTTGACAACTCATAAAGACTATAGCGACATCGAACGATGGAGTTTGTTGACGACCAAAAAATAAAAATTAATTTTTTTCGTTAAAAGCATACAACTAAATTATTCTTATGCAATTTTAAGGAAAAAATATTGGAAACATATACGATTTGATGAGTATTTAGTGATAAAGTATTTCACTGCGTCATCTATCCGTCAATATGTGATATATAAACTGTCAGCTGTTTGCAGTAAGTAAATAAACAATCAGTTCTTATTTTTTTGAATATGTTAAAATCGATTTGTAAGTGTTTATGTTTTGCATACAAGAAATACTTTTACATATATTTCTTGTAGTATCACTAATAGGTGTTGGCTTACTATGGGGTGCAACAAATCCATTCATACGTCTGGGAAGTATCGGAATTGAAAGTGTAAACTCAGGTTCGAGATGGCGCAATCTTTGGTTGGAGCTACGCATGATAACCACCCGTCTTAATTACTGGGTACCCTTTCTTTTAAACCAAATGGGTAGCGCTATGTATGTCTGGACTCTGCAGCATACTAATTTAACCATAGCCGTTCCCGTGGCAAATTCATTGAGTTTTGCGTTCACAGCTGTGACTGGTTATTTTTTAGGAGAAAAATTGCCAGGAAAATGTAAATATCCAACTGTATGAAACTCTATTGTGTGTATTCATACAACCTTTCCTCTTACAGCAATTATGATTGGGACTATATTTGTCTGCATTGGCAGCTCGTTGATGTTGTATGATAAGATGAGTAGTGAACAATAATAATGAATATCACATTCCAAATAAAAATATAATAAATAATAAATTATTTACTTATAAGTATTTTTTTAGTAAACTATCAACAAAGCCTTTTATTCGCTAGAATACAATAAGACACTTTAGAAAATTTTGACAATGCTTCACCTTTGTTCTATTTTGAATTATAGTGCATTGTGCACAGCCTCAACCAGCGTTTCCATGCTTACTATAGGAGTTTGAGGAGTAATGCCATGACCCAAATTGGCGATATATCGTTCCTTTCCAAATTTTCGTACCATTTCAGTAGTAAGTGTTCGTACTTCCTCCGGCGTTTTGTACATATCTTGAGGATCGAGATTTCCTTGCAGGGTTATGTTCGGTCCAACTTCTTTTCGTGCCTCGACTGGATCTACTGTCCAGTCTAAGCCTATAACATCATATCCCAAAGTTGCCTGTTCCTTCAGCGAATGTCCAGCTCCTTTGGCAAAAAGTGTCTGAATTGGAAATGTGATGAATCTTAAAAGCTAGAATGTAAATAGGAGAACGAAAACTTACCATTGGTACAGTTGGTATTGATTGTTGTTTCAAACGCTCTGTTAATTTATCACGAATGTCTTTAATGTGAGGTACGGCCCACTTTAAAAAGTCATCCTTGCTTAAATGCTCTGCTGATGATTCGAATATCTGTAACAATTGCGCACCGGCTTTAACCTGCATTTCTAAATAATCCACTATAGCGTCCGTTAACATGGTTAATAATTTTTTCGAGTCCTCTGGGTAATCTGTCAGCCATCCTTTTGATTTAGCCATAGTTTTGCTGCCACCACCTTCAATCATATAGCCCATTAAGGTCCACTAGCAATAAAATTTTGTAATAAATGTAGTTATTATTGTGTTATATAAGTATTTGTTGTATTTTCAAACTGTGTAAAACAAGCTTACAGGTGCACCAGTAAACCCAATAAGTGGCACACGTCCCTCCAACATGTGACGCATCATGGTAATAGCGTCGCCCACATATGTTAAACGCCCCACAGCACCTTCCGGTGTGAGCTTTGCCAAATCCGCTGGAGTTTTCAGCGGTTCAGGAAAGACTGGTCCCTGGAATATTGGCATTAATTAAATATAATAATAAATTTAGTTTTATTTGGTTTTTAAAACTTACCACACCCGCATGCATTTCAACGGTCATACCCAAGGCTTGAGGTATAACAAGAATATCAGAAAATATGATAGATGCATCCAAGTCGAATCGACGTAGCGGCTGCATTGTTACTTCACATGCCAACTCTGGAGTACGACAAATTGTGAAGAAATCGTGTTGCTTCCGCACTTCCTGGAATTCTGGCAAATAACGCCCTGCTTGACGCATCACCCACACTGGCACTCGATCAACGGGCTCACCCCGCGCAGCTCGCAATAGATTATCATTTTTTAAAGCGGGGAAGTTCTGTGAAATGCATACCAGCGGATATTACATTTTAACTTACTTTTTTTCTAATTTCTTGTGCAACTATATTTTACATATATTTTTATTTTTGACGTTACACTGTTACATACTTTTTCTATAGCATTTGCACCATAAAGTGCTAATAAATATATTAATGTTTTTAAAATATGATGCATTCCTCGATTATCCTTTTCTTCAAATTAATAAACACTAGTGATGTAAGCCACTCAAAACTCAGTGAAACAGTTTCGTTGACCTCTTCTGCTTCCACTTACCTTTGTATCTTTCATTTTACTATGCGTATTAATTACTTGTCCAGTCAAATTTGTGATTATTATTGCGTGACCTGCACTAAACTTCAATTTATTTAATTTCAATCGAAAACGGTTTTAAATGAAAGCGCTATATATTTATTGGCCGGCAAATTGCAAATAAAACATTACTTGCATGAATTTGCTTATCAATTTCCATATTCTAATAAGAAGCAATGACAGGGTTGTTTTCCTTGATAATTTGTAAAAGTGAATTTACACCATTGAGATTTTATAATAATTGCAGCTTTCAAGCTTTACGTCACAATTTCAAAATATATATGTACATACACACAAAATGTCAAGAAAAAACCTCAGCCACGTGATGTTTTACTTTTCTGCCAGTAGTGAGACAAAAACTAAGTTTATAGATAGAAAAATAATTGAACTGAAGGAATGTTCATTGTTTCACAGCGTTTTGCACTTGCTTCCCCGACATCAGATTTTATTTAATAACAGAAATACTTAGGAGGACTGGATGAAAGGCGACTACAAGTAAGAAAAATAATTTTACATAATTTTGGATGTTGGTCAGGCCAGAACTCGAACCCTAGACATCCGAAAGTTTTAGGTTTTGGGGCTTTTGAGAAAGCGATAGTACTTGTTCGAATAAAAATGTGGATTATTCCATTATTAAGGCATGTTGGTAAAAATTATTAAGTCTTATTTACCTCACACAGCGTGCCTGACTGTATGTGGGTTCGCACAGACGACCATTTTTTGTGCGTGTTTTTTTTTTCTAAAGAAATACGTAGAGATTTAATAATAATTCCACCAATCTCGAAGCGATTCGTATTATAGCTTTGGCATTGTTGTCACTATACACTGTTTCTAATTGATATCCTTGATTCTCTAAAACCAACAATAGATTATTCAAATATTTTCATTTTCCATTCGAAAGGCTAAAAATTGTACTAATATCAAGTTAACGAACGCATCTATTTATTTTTTTTGTAACGAAGGTAGTGCATAAGGGAGTGAAAGCAAAACATAATTGGAGAACACGTAGTAAAGCAAAAACAAAAAGTTGAATTTCATCAATTTCATATTTATCTTGGTTGTTTTTATTATATTATTTTTGTTAAAGAATACGAAAGAGGTGTGATTAAAACAGAAAAGAAAAAGTGCCTTCGTGTCACTTTACAAACAACTACAACTGAAAGCAACAACAAACAGTTGCAATACATAAACCTCAGATATAATATACTTCCATACATATATTATATTTAACGTTCTCCACCAATAACAACTTCACAATCCAAGCAGAAGCAAAGCAACAAATTGGAGAAGTTGTTTGTATTCATATGAAAAGTTCTAAAAATACCTATAAGGTAATCAACAGCGAATAAAGGCACAACTAAAAGTCAGTGCGTAGTTTCAAAAAAGGTAAATACGTGTGAATTGTTCATATTAATGTTTCTAATTACTGTAATTTTTACATATCATTTAACTATTGGCTATGGTACTGAATTAATAAATAGTGAAGAGAAGATTCCAAAGTAGTTTGAAAGTGAAAAATGGCTGACGAGCAACCCAATCTTGTGGCTGGACACCCACCAGCAGGTACGTACAGTTTAGAAAAAATTATTGTGCTTAATGGTGTAAATGGCAGAGTATATATAATATAAATATGAAGGAAAATATTATGAATAAAATGTCCTTGAGTTCGTTACAAGCGGCACCACTGAACAAATGGGTGCGCCGCTAACTTACACACATATGTATGTACATACATTTATACGAGTACACCCAAACTTCTTTTACAGTACTGATAAGAAAGATTATTGTATGTATGTATGTATGTATGCACATATGTAAGTACAATCATATAGTATACGACTAAAGCTTTCAATATATATTATAGTCAAAGCTGGTGGCATGCGCATAGTGCAGCATAAGGCGCCTACTGCGGAGCGTCCAGCTAAGGATGCAGAAGATTGCACTGGATTAACGGTAAACTAAGCAGCATTAATAAAAGTATAAATGTCCTATTATAAATAATATTATTTTTTGTAGCAACCTGTTGCTGTTAATAGTGCTATTGTGAGCGGCGCTCCAGTTAAGGGTAATGTTGACTATACGCCACAGGCAGCACAAGTCGCACATTCGCCGAAACCACCATCGTTTGTTGCACATAAACCACAAATAAATATCCAACAACCGCGTAAATGAGTGTACGCTACGCGTGCTAGTCGTTCAAAACAACAGCAGCAGCGGCAAATACAGTCGCATCATTCACAACAGCAGCAACATAATCAACAACAAATTCAATCACAACAGGAACAGAAAATACATTCCAATTCAAAAAGCCAACAGCAGAAGAAATGTCACAAGCACGGTGGAAACAGTAAAGAAATGCTTAAATCATAAATATCAGCAGTACATTATAAAATTAATTTAAAAAAGATTAACGTGCTTTGTATTTGAAAATAAAAAAACATACTACATACATATTATATATTTGTAGCTTTGTTAAAAGATATTGAAGAGATTTGCCAATAACATTCATTAGAATATTAGTACACAAATATTTACTTAATATAATATTATTCTAAACCATGAAAATTATAATTTTTGCACTCACGAATTTATGCATTTTATTATTAACTTTTGCACCTTTTGTCAGCGCTCTGCACTCTTTAAATGTAGCACCATAGTACTCCATTGAAGCATAATTGCTAATGTGTATTCCTAACGAAATATAAATACAACATAATATCAGCGCATTAAAATTATGTTAATTCCATTTCAATGGGAATATTCTGCACTTGTTTTGTTTGAAATTAATACATACGTTTGTAAAACAAAAATTATAAAATAAAATGTGATTTTCTAAATAATTGTCACAAAATATCTTATTTTATTATATTTTATTTATTTGTATTAAACGACGTAAGTAGTTTTTGTTAATGCTTTTATTTTGAGAAGATGTCGAACAACAACAACAACAACAACATAATGTTTCATTTGCAACACCCAGTGAGCCAAAATTTCCTACGTATATGGAATGGTAAGATACAAACAGTATGCACAAAATTTCATATATGTAAAAGTTTTTCATTATACGTATCTGCATACTATATAAATATTTTCAATGAAAGTGTATTAATATTATTATTATCTCTCGCTTCCTATATAATTGCATTTATTGTGTAAATCTCGTAAATATAATTTATCTTATTTACATATTAGAACATGGCACAGATTTAAGTTTCATTCAACTATGATATAAACTGTAATTCATAGATGCATTTTCGTGCTTAATACTGTTTAAATGAACACATATTCATAATTAGAATTGCCTCTCTGAGCTTCGGTGGTCCGGGGTGCAGACTTCAAATCTGTAGTCGATTAACGTCGAAGTGGTTCGATTCCACCTGAGGGGCGTATGTATAATTGCTTCCAATAATTTCGCGTAAAGCAACAAATTTCTGCTTTTATTTTTTTCATATAATTACTGTGCTGTTTCCATTAAATAACACTATTATTTATAGTTATAGTAAACTTAATAACACCATACTCGTACACTCTATTGTGTTGCAGCAAAATAATATATTTTCTGTAAGCCATTTTATTTTGCATTCAAAATGGCGTATGTCTACTTTCCTTTTCCTTTTTGAAAGAAACTAAGTAAATGTCAGGCACCCCTTCCACAGTTTGAGTGCACATGCATCGCATCTTTTGTTTATATCGATCAAACAAACGTAAGAAAAATTTAATAGATATAGAAAGAATCCGATTGTTTTGCTCAAAAAAGTCAACATTTTCTTCTTAAATACTGGTAAAATACGCATATCAATGGATAAAATTACACCGGAGGAATTATTAAAGCTACGCGCTAACTGCATGGAGCGCCTACGCGCAGCTGAACTCTATGAATTGCGCAATGATGCCAAGCTGCGTGCGGTGAATACCACACAAACTTATGAAGAATTCAAGTAAGTTTTTTTTTTGTTTTTGTATTTATAGTGGACAATGATAAATTTAATTATTATAGAGATATTGTGGATGCGGCACATTTGCAACCAGTAAGTAAACAGGATAAAATGAATGCGAAGACGAAAAGTCGCTTGTGGAATTCAGCGGCACGGGAGAATTGATATTGTGTTCTTCTTAACAACCAAATTTTGGGTTTACATTAAAAATAATTATATAAGAAATGTATTTGTCAGAATTGTCATCAAAAACACACAAGTGTAAAATAGGGTATTGTTTGTTTTTGATGAAGTTGTGTTATAAGTGGGCATACTGTTACCGGCATCGATATAGCAATACTTAGGACACTGGAGCAAGCATTAACTTTATACTTAGCACAGATGTTAACTAAATAGACTCATGGTGATATTGTACGTACATATATATATATATTATAATATTATTTATTGTATATGTACATATACATGCTTTTTAGGTATACAAGTATACATATATTTCTATGCGATCGTACATGTGTAGATAAGGATATAAACATAAAATTTGAAGTACATATAAAATGTGTATTATAAGTATGATTTTATTTACGACTTTATTAGACACTTTAGATCTGCAATCAATCTACTTCGACTTGTTGAAGTGAAATATCCGATGCTTAACGCAATTGTAATATTTATTATGGAATCATTTTGAAAGAGAAAGAAATGTTATAGAGTTCTTAAGGAATTAATACAGAGATCGATTATTAATTAATAAACACTATCAACTCAAAATTATCATTATTCGTTTTCCAGTTTTTATTTCGTTTTTTATATTATATTAATTTGTTTAAATTTTTATATTTATTTACTTACTAAATATTTTTCGTCTGTTCATTGATCCAATTCCTCAACTTCGCCACACTGGCGTAAACACCGGGAAAGCCATGCTCTCCGCAGCCAACGCCCCATGAAACAACACCAACCAGTGTGCCATTGTATGCCAGCGGACCACCAGCGTCGCCGCCACAAGTACCTCTACTACCACTCCGCACACCGCCACAAATCATACGATCTGTGATTTTATCTCTATTCTTATATTGACTTATACAATCCTTTTTCGAAATTATCTGCACGTCCACGCTTTGTAGCTGATTCAATGTAGGTCCATCTTTGCTCACCGGTGCCCAACCAGTGACAAGCGCATTTTGACCTGTTTGAGGATTTTTTTCAGCTAACGGAATAATTTGCGCTTTCGAACTAAGTTGTATTGGCGATGCGAGTATGATTAAAGCAATATCATAATCATCTGTAATCTTGTCGAATTTCTCATGAATAATGATCTTTGCCACTTTGACTATATTCGCTGAACTGCTAACTTCCTCAACACCATACTGTACAGTGTAATCTTCGAGTTTGTCCTGGTTCAGACAGTGTGCAGCAGTCAATACCAGTTTTTGTCCAATTAGGGAACCACTACAGAAATGACCGCCATATAACTGCACCGATACCTGGTAAGGTTCTAACTCATAGTAGGCTTTGTAACGAGCGAAGGCAAGTAGCGCGAACGTGGCGAATAAAAAGAGTATAGAACGTAACATTTTTCCACAAATTGAAGTAGTAATGAATTATTTGATTATTTTTGTGCACGAATTTATAGCCATGAGCTACCATTTACAGTTAAGCTGAGCATGAAGTTGTATAACACAATATTAGAAAATAAACATTAAATTCAGCACAACTGGATAAATAAGCCTTTTTTGTCTCACTCGTGCGCACAGATATACTCGTCTTCCTGCTGATTTCAATAACAGTGCTTCATATTTGTTAGATAAAAAAAATTCATATCTAAATAACACACACGACCCGAATACGAAGTTTAGTTTTAGCAAGCTATTAGTAACAAGTCATTGTGCAAAGCACACATGCACGTAGAGCTTACGGGATTTGAAGAATGGAGAACGAAGTGAAACGTCTGGTTGAGCAATCTCTTTTAAAATGGAAGTAATGGAAAGATCTACATAAAGGATGTTTTTTCCGACAGTCTCAGCAGATATTACACACAGCTCAAGCGCTTTCCGTTGTGTGTCTAGTCCAAAGTACATGGCTGTTCCCTTAACAAATTGAAGGAGGCCGTTTGGCGTTTGTCCACCGCTGACTGAAGACCCTTCAGCTTTTTTTCACCAAGTGAGATCGACCACAGCTTGCCAAACGTCGCACATTTATAGATTATGTGCTTCGCACAGCCCCTGCATTTTCTGCTTTTGTTGTGCACAACCATTAAAATAGCCCTGTCAGAGCACAGTGAGTCGTGCGTGGTATATTTTGTACATAATTTCTGATTTTTTGGAGTTCTTCGTTTGCTCCCAAAGTCCATTCACCTAACGAAATAAAATCGAGTCTTTAAGTGTCTCACTACCCTAAATTGGAACAGGTACTGGTCTCTGAAACGAGACCCCTTTAGTCGTTTCTGTAACTATCTTATTGCGTTCGATGTCCATATGCCCCTGTCGCTAAGTAAAATTGCTCCCCTCTTCTCTCAGCCAGCCTTAACGATGCAGGAATTTTCATATCACTCACAAGATTGCAAGTCAGTACGTCGTCTCGTGATTGTAAAGCAGATAGGGCAAATGGATACAGNAGTAAAACTCGTAAAGTTAGTTAAAACTCGTAAAGTTAGTGTTTCAGAGTGTCGGCTTCTCAGCCAGCCTTAACGATGCAGGAATTTTCATATCACTCACAAGATTGCAAGTCAGTACGTCGTCTCGTGATTGTAAAGCAGATAGGGCAAATGGATACAGGTGGTCTTTTTCAATCAGAAGTGTAGCTTTTCTCCAGCTGTATAGATGAAATCACGAACTTAAGAGTGACTTCCTGGGAACATCAGTTGATCTTTATCATTTATTTATAAGCTTATCACATCTTATGTTCTTGCACTCATTCAAGTCATGCGTATAAAGGAGGATAATGTTATCTCCCTACCTGGCATGGAGTTGTTCATTGAATGTTCCCAAGCAGAGTTTTTCCAGATTTCTATAGTATGACTAATGATGACTAATATTAGGAGTTAAATAACGGAAAACAAATAAATAACAGAAAAGGTAGTCAACTGGTAAAAGAAAGGGATTTAAACAGTTTCCGCTTTTGATGTATGTTCGGTTTACCAGAGAGTGAGTTGGTTAACTAAGCCAAAGAATTTCTATCGACGGGGATAGCGGTTAATGTAGGCCCAACTAACCAAGACAAGAGTTCGAGATCTGATCCGACCAACATCCACTGAAAAAAAAGTTTATTCAGAAATAAAAAATTAAATTAATTTTTCTAACCGCGTCCGACCATCGGTAGGAAATGTGAAGCCCTCCGTGGATATTTCTGATATGAAACAAAAACCCCTCATAAAAATCCATCGGTCGTTCGCAGCCGCATTTAATATATCGCAGGTGCCACCATTTCTTGGAAAAATCATAAAGACGGAAAACCCAGAATTGTAGGAGGAGGTCGACTGAAAATTGATATGAAATTATCTCTTGATATTAAAATGAAAATCATTATTACTTTTCAATAATTTAAAATACTTTTAAGATTAGCCACATATGTCGATCTGATAGCATCATGGACGTCGCGAATTGACTGACAAATTAACTGGTATTTCCCACTTACCGTTCAGCACTGGTAAGTGATAAGATAATATTTCGATTATATTTATAAGAATTTAATTAATCATAAAGAAAACGACACAATCAAATAATTTTTTTATATTCTTTATCCTTTATTTTATTTTTAATATCGACTTTGACATTAGATAGAGCTAGCGGTGCTTACAACCCAGGAGCGGAAGGTGGCGACATCAGCGTATACACCAGGATATCTGGTAAGAGCGCAACCACTGCCCCATGAAACAACACCAACGAGTACACCACCGGATACCAATGGACCACCGGAATCACCTTGGCAGGCATCCTTACCGGAAGCAGCAGCGCAGATCATGCCAGACTTGACGGAGGAACCGTAACTGTAGGTGGATGAAGCACATACGCTCTCACTAATAATCGAAACGTCGACATACTGCAGTTGGCTTGGAAGAGAGGATGAGCCAGATTTCAAGGTACCCCAACCGGAGACAGCTGCTGAAGCGCCATTGGCAGGTGCGCTAGTGGCCAAACCAATAGCTTTGGTGGTAGAGCTGTACGACAGCGATGATGATAGTTTGATGACGGCGATGTCATTAGCATAAGTATTTTTGTTGTATCCTTCATGGTTTTTGAACGAGGAGACCGAGATGACAACACCACCGGAGTTCCAGTAGCTGGAACCAGCACGAATTCTCAACACTGAAGCACTAACCGATTGCAAGCAGTGAGCTGCGGTCACAATAATGTTGGTGCTATAGATCGAGCCACCGCACGAGTGTGAACCGGAACGTTGGAGTGATATTTGCCAAGGAAAATCAGAGATTTCGGTTGGTGTACCACCAACGATACGTCCAGGTAACGATCTTATTGGATCAATAGTCAGCATACCATCGGGTATGGCGCCAGCAAAGGCACAGGCGACGAACGACAAGAGTACCACAAACTTCAACATTTCTTCCACTACAGATAGCTGCAAACAACTGGTGTTGTCCAATTTGGGGAGCTTATTTATACCCTAAGATCAGTACCGAAGACATGCAAATAGGCAATGACTTTTTGCATTACAGTATTCTTTAACTTGGCGCAAAGCCTTCCCGTTCGTTTCAAGTGCAGACATCCGCAAGCGAACGATTAGCGATGCTCGGCTCTTAATATTTTGTATCGTTAGATAGTGGCACGTGTTTAGATAAGTTAAAGATCATTTGGTAGTGTATACGAGTGACCCATGACTTGTTGATGGGTACTACGACTTAAAAAAGTACACTTGAAAAGTTTCTGTTTTTAATATTGGTTTTTGCGAGGAATATGAGTAGAGAGAGGATTAAAGCGCTTAATATTATTTCTGGCATAAGAAATTAGTAAATTAGTAAAACTCGTAAAGTTAGTCTTTCAGAGTGTCGGCTTCTTTGAAACTACAAAATAGTTTCAATATGATTTTTATTTTATTATTTAAATGATTGTTTGACATTCTTCTTTCACACTGAAAATTCATTGGAAATTAATCCGGTGGCGAAATTTGAGTTGGTGCCACCCGAGTATTATAGATGGTGTGGGACGAAAATTCCAGGTGTTGCATGGGGAATTTATTGAGTGCGATAACACTTCAGAATTGGTGGAGCGAGGGAGAGCTCCAAGCTGTTTTCTAGACAAGCAGACTGCAAGCTTTCGAACATACTACAAAGCATACTAGTTTAGTATTTAAGAGATGCTTTAAGTTTATTGCTTCACTGTGCACTTGAGAATTGCACTTATGCCTGTACGTATGTATGAGTAATCATACACATGTACTTGCATACATGCATAAGTACATAAAATGACGGGAAGCAAAAAGCTAATGCCTGAAAGTATTCCTTGGTAGTGAGATTGGGGCTAGCTTAAAGACATTTCTTGTACCAAATTACTGGTGAATACGAAATTCGATCAAAATTAGCTCTGTACTTTCCGCGTACATCGCGTATAAACACCGTTACATCACGTTGTTCTCCACACGCTTTGTCCCCATTTTTCACTGCTTGGAATAGAATTTAGGAACATTCTTTCTTAGCGGCTGCCTACGGGCGTTGATCACGATGTACGTCAATCATTTCTCTCTTTTTTTTAAGGCGGATGTACATACATTTTTATTCAGAGTGCTCTTCATTCATGATTTACTATCTCTAGATTATCTTTCACATGACAAATATAAATATATACATAAATTAGTTTCAACCAAAAAAAATAAAATAATTAATTAATGAATTCATCACTGATTGAGGTGCTATTTCGATGGGCAATAAGAGAAGGGTCTAACTTCGTCCAAAGGAAATTGCTATACTTAATTGTTTCCTAAAGCCTCTATGAAGCTACCAGAAAGTGTGACAATTTTACTCTAGAATCGAGACAATTATAATACAAATCTTTTTCAGACGAAGAAAATTTAGCTTCTTAAATCTATCAGCAACCAAACTCAGTGCTGAATAATTGAGTCCATGATACAATAATTTAAAGGTAGTCTCTCTCTCTCTTCGTAGTCGGCTTTATAGCTATATGACATTAAGCGTGTTTTGGCTGTTTCGTGCTAACCTCTTCTCTTAAAAAAAAATCTACGAATTTTAAATAAAAAATAGACGAAAATTTTAATATTTTTTTAAATGTTCAAATATTTAAAAAACACTTATTTTCCAACCCCTGATAGTAGACTTCATCGAGGGATTTTTGTATTACAACTCTAGTAAACTGTAGGGTAGTATCAGAAAGAGAAGGCATTCGCCCACTAAAATTTAAATCGAATTCAAGAAGATGAGAAGCTGGCTGGATTTGCTATATTAACATTTGAATTCAAATTATGTTCACAGCTTTAGAGATGTTTTAAGGAAACTTTTTAAGCAAACTGGATATTGTTTTAATAATTGTTGATTTCTTAGAGCAGTGCAAATTCATAATAATAATCGTATAATTACGCTTGAGGTCGTTTAATCTTCCAAACACTTTTGATTTCAAAGTAACCGTCAAAAATACATTGATACTAGTCAGTTTGTTCGATC